CATAAGGCTTCTCTGTCTCCATACATTTTAGATTGTCCTCATAAGAGGTCTTATGTTGGGTTACAATGAGATGGAAACAAGTTCACAAAGACACAACATCTATAAAGGGTTAGAAGAGTGTCTTTGTGACACAGCAAGCAGGGCATGTGGATGAGCCCTTAGTGAAATTAGTTTCAGATGTCAGTCTTGTCAACTTCTATACATGGAAAGAAATTCGTGTATCGGCTTCTTTATTACCATAGTCTTCTAGTGGTTCTGTTAAGATGTTTTTCCCCTTATGTGTCATTACAACTCCACTCGCAATCATTCAAATATGGTGTTTCCCGCAGAACAGCCTTAATTTATTATGAGGAGAATTAAAGATTTAAGGTGTAATTCAAATTCAAATTAAAATCTGGAATCTTAGCCCACCATGGGTGAGCTCCAAAAGCACTGACAACTCTGCAGTTTTAAAAAAAAAAAAGTTTTCTACAACCCACAGCCACATGAAAAATGAACTGCAATCCAACGGAAACCTATGACATTTTTAACATTATGCAATGTTTGTGTGAAAAACTATGGTAGAAATTCCCCATGTCTCTCCAAAACTATTTCTAGCTTTTAATTACATTTCAACCATTAATTCGGGACAGCTTTTTATAATAATGGCTCTCACTGCACAAAACTTATGTAACTCATTTACAAATGAGAAATTAGGAACATTTGGAGGAAAAGGACTTACTGTAATTATGAAATGTACGCCTTTGCTCTCAACACATTCAATTCTCCAATCTTCTCCTCAGACAACAGTTGCAACAGTTACAGGTATTCGGGGATAAGCAATGAGAATTAATTTGGGAAATGATCCTGCACTGGAAGGACGGATGAAATATTGAAAAACTGCAAACATTTGTTATAAGGAAGGGACAGCTGCTCAGTGGCACAACATATGGATTACATGAAAATGGTTTCATGTTCAGCCCGTGACACATTCAGGGCTTTGGCTAAAGAGCTGCCTGTCTCGCTGCCAGAGCAGACAGTGCTGATTGGACAGACCTATATGTAGACAGATTGATTTCTAACGTTAGCTCTGGAGGTGTCCCCTTCCTTTGGAACAAACAAAAAAAACTGAACTAAGGAACTAAATTTGGTCCCATTTCTTCTGAAATAAATACCGTAGTATGGGAGATGGACATTTCTTGCTGGTTCTTCCCCCTTGCTTGTTGTTGCTCATTTCTTTCTTACTGTGTGGAATGGGATATTTCATTTTCTGCAATCGACCCAGTTTATTGCAATCTGGCAGTCATTTTAGTTTCCCAGAATGTTCTAGACTTTTGTCCATATGTGTGGGTTTTGTTTGGGTTTTTTTAGAGGAGGGGGATTAAATAAGCCTTGGTACTACAGTGGTTTAAAGCACCCTGTTATTAACACAGCTGCCTGCAATTTACTGCTGGTTCGAATCTCTCCAAGGCTCAAGGTTGACTCAGCCTTCCATCCTTTCTAAGGTAGGTTAAATGAGGACCCAGTTTGTGGGGGCAATAAGCTGACTTTGTATAAATATACAAAAGTATGAAGGCTATTGCTTAACGCACTGTAAGCCGCCCTGAGTCTCCGGAGAAGGGCGGCATATAAATCAAATTTAAAAAAAAAAAAAAAATAGGATTTTCGAGCTGTTCTCTCTCAACCTCAGCAACTTTGTAAGAAGTTTGGATGTCAACTCCTAGAATTCTCCAGCCTTTAGGTCAGTGTTTCTCAACCTCAGCAACTTTAAGATGTGTAGACTTCAGTTCCCGGAATCCCCCAGGAAGTCAGGGAATTCTAGGAATTGAAGTCTGTGCATCCTAAAAAATTGCTGAAATGTAAAAATATTGTTTTAGGTCTGTGATGGCAAACCTATGGCACGTGTGCCACAGGTGGCACGCGGAGCCATATCTGTGGGCATGCAAGCGTTGCCCTAGTTCAGCTCCAGTGCGCATGCGCATGCAGCCCAGCTGATTTTCGGGCCTTCCGGGCCACCAGAAGTCAGAAAATGGCACGTTTCTGGCCTCTGGAAGGCCTCGAAGTGGGTGGGGAAGGCCATTTTTGCCTTCTTCAGGCTTCAAAAAAGCCTCTAGAACCTGAGGAGGGCAAAAAAATGGGCCTTCCTGGCCTACCAGAAGTTGGGAAATGGGTCGTTTCCTGCCTCTGGAGAGCCTTGGGGTAGGGGGACAGGCCGTTTTCGCCCTCCCCAGGCTCCAAGAAACCCTCTGGAGCCTGGGGATGGTGAAAAACGGGCCTACCGGACCCACCAGTAATCTTTTTACCGTTGCATTACAAAAGTGAGGCGAGCGGGGGGGGGCATTGAACCACACGCATACGTGGCATGGTGGGGCAGGGGGGCATTGAACTTTGGGTGTGGGCACACGAGTGCCCAAGCCCCCCCCGCTCCCCGCACTTTTGGCACGTGATGGCAAAAAGGTTAGCCATCACTGTTTTAGGGCTGCCGTTTCTAACTCTGCAACAAAAATGTCTGAATAAACAGGGCCTTGGTGTCCTGAATATTGTGGGAAATCATTTCAATCAACCTTGGCTACCACACCTAGGGCATCTTTCTTTCCCTCATGAAAACAAAAAATATCTGAATATAACAGAACTAATTTTATTTATGACTAATACAACAGATATGACTTTAATAACTAACCCTTTGAATGAATGAGGTTCATTATAAAGAGAAGCAAAACCAAAATCAATGCTTATTTACTGCAGTTTTAGACTTGTGAAAATCCTTTTATGATTGCTGAAACTTATGAACTCTCTTGCCTCTTTTAAAACATTTTTATCAGGTACCCTAAGTCTAGATCCCTTTTCCCATCACATACCTAGGTTTTGAGAACCAGTTTTGCATATAGTCGCTTGGCAACCACTCAAAAGTATGATGCTCCCCCCCCACAAAGCTCTTTACAACCCAGCTCTGATAACTATAAGGTAAAGGTAAAGGTTCCCCTCGCATATGTGCTAGTCGTTCCTGACTCTAGGGGGCGGTGCTCATCTCCGTTTCAAAGTTGAAGAGCCAGTGCTGTCCGAAGACATCTCCTTGGTCATGTGGCTGGCATGACTAAATGCCAAAGGTGCACAAAACGCTGTTACCTTCCCACCAAAGGTGGTCCCTATTTTTCTACTTGCATTTTTTACGTGCTTTCGAACTGCTAGGTTGGCAGAAGCTGGGACAAGTAACCGGAGCTTACCCCGTTACGTGGCACTAGGGATTTGAACTGCTGAACTGGCGACCTTTCGATTGACAAGTTCAGCGTCTTAACCACTGAGCCACCATGTCACCTGATAACTATACCAAGCTACTTATACATACAGTTCATTTTTTCTTCAAATAGCTCCTGGTAAGCTGTATGTCTTTCTTCACATTTTTTACTAGCCCCTTATGAAGGAGATGACATTGAGAAGTAGGCTACATTCATATATCGAGCTAAAATACAGCAGGTATGTTTTCACATGTAATATGGTGCCAGACATATTAGTATAGATCTTGACCTCAGGAACTTTAAGAGGTGTGTACAACTTCAACTCGCAGAATTCCCAGTGTTCTTTGGGAACAGGTTTTCCCAGTTTGATGGAAGTGTTTTATTTTTGCTAACCCGAGACCTTTTCACTACAGGTAGTCATTGATTTATGCCCACAAATGTGACTAGAATTTCCATTGCTAAGCAAGGCAGCTTTTAAGTGAATTCTGTCCAATTTTATGACCTCGTCTGTCATAATTGTTAAATGAATCACTGCAGTTTTAATTGAAACACACAATAGTTAAGCAAATCCAGCTTTCCCCCCATTGACTTTGGTTTTTGGAAGCTGGCTAGGATGCTGCAACTGTGGCAAATATAAGGTGGTTGCGAAATATCCAAATTTTGATCATGGAACCATGGGGATGGTGCATTGGTTGTTAAGGGTGAAGGCTGATTGGAAGTAACTTTTTCAATGCTGCTGTAACTTTGAGCAGTCACTAAACAAATGATTTTTTAGGTTGAGGATTGCCTATTCTGGAAAAAAAATATATTAAATTTGGAAAAACCCGTCTGTGCTAGATCCAAAACATTGTAGCAGCCCTTGAACTAAATATAGCTGCATTTATAATTTTGACTGAAGGACAGTTAGGTACTCTGGGACTAACTGGTTCTAGAAAACATACATTTGAGAAGATTCCCATAATACTCAGGTTCCACCTAGTGGGCAAATTGTGCAAACTTTGCACTCTAGAGAAATTTAGGAAGCAAGCAGCACGCTAACACGAAGACCAATCGACACCTGTATGGAAATGATAATGGATGGCCCTGGAACATAATTCCAACTCAACTGTTTTTCTTTTTTGTAATTGCTGCTGTCTACACGGGTTCCATCATCTTTGATCGTGACCTTTATACTTACAACTGTTTTCATTCCTTTTAAACAGAAAACCATGGATTGAAGACTTTCATTTTAGAATATTTGTTTTTAAAAAGGGGTTTCACATGTTTTGGTTTTAAAAGTGCATCTGTGCATAGATTCAATGCAGACTCTATTATGAGAATGTTTGTATTTTATTTCACACAAAATATCCTGGCTCACATTATTGTGTGACAGCCCACATCTATCTATCTATCTATCTATCTATCTATCTATCTATCTATCTATCTATCTATCTATCTATCTATCTATCCTCATCTTTCTCATGACTATAATCAACCAATGTGACGTCTATGGAGATTCTCAGTCATCCAGGTCACGGTTGTCCCAAAGGTGCTTTTTCAAGAGGCAACTGGACTTTCTGGTTTTTCTTTGGAGATGCTTCGCTTCTCATCCAAGAAGCTTCTTCAGCTGAAAACTTTGAAGAAAAACCAGAAAATCCAGTTGCCTCTTGGAAAAACACCTTTGGGACAACCAGTGTGATGGTTGTGCTGAATTCATGATCACTTCTCAATGCAGCAACAGAAACAGAGGTAAAGAAGTCTCAAGATTTGACCAACACAATATCAATTCACAATGCCAAATAGGTATGAAGTTCCATAAAATTTATTGTTAACTTGTTTTCAACCATTCCCTTTTTAAAAGTTCTTACACATCTGCAACATGGAACTGCACATGACAATTACTCAATTTGCATGTATATTTCTCTTTGATCAAGAATATGCACATCTCAATTGACAAGAGGACAAGTACAAAACATAGGCATCACAAATAATTTGACATGGGGATTCATACCTCCAACACAGGAGAGGGAAAGAGTTTTCTGCTGTACATTTGAAAAGCTTAGAAATACATATTTAATTAGGTGATGGCAATCAACCGGATCACAATTAACAGAAAGTTTTGGAATACTCTCAAACACAAGTTTAAATGTTCCAAGGAAAATGAAACACAATCCACCCTTGGACAGTTCCATTTTAAATGCTCAGGCATGAGTTTTAATCCAACCTTAATCCTCAGTTTAGTTTTCTGTACCTAATTAGGCTATGCTGGATGTGTTACTCTTGCTGTATTTTGATCTCTGGAGGCTTATTTAATACCCTTCCTAATCTGCTCCAGAAATGGAATTATTGGGCAGACAATTTCCTCCCCTTGGATTTACATTAGTAAGTCATTATTGGCTTTAATATCTAATATATAGGTGGTCCTTGTTTAGTAACTACAAATGGGAACAACTCAGTTGTTAAGTGAAGCAGTTGCTAAGTGTAACTGCTACTGTGGGTATAAGATCATACCTACTTCAGTGTAAGATCTTACTTCAGCTTTCCTTATGCTTTACAGACCTGTGAAAATCTTAAATGTGAGGATTGGTTGTAAAGTTACTTTTCCATCGTCATAACTGTGAATGGTCACTAAATGAGGACCACCTATGTAAGGATCTACCTCTGGGATATTTCCTTATTGTATTACTCATGCATGATATGCACATTGCACAGTAGAAGTATAAAAATTATTGACTGGGAGACTGTACGTGGCATTCCTATCTGTGGTTGCAGAGTCCAACCCAGGATTTTTGGTATTTTATTTACTTTTTGGAACGGGGGAAGAGTTTAAATGAATTTTAATTTTATATTTTGGAGCATGGCCCTTGTCACATTGCGTAAAGCATTGTGTGGTCCTCAGGCAGAGGTTATGTATCTGAGTCCAAAGGACATTTGGCACTAGAGATGATGGCATCATTTGTCAAGAGGACAAAGCAAGTGGAAAAAGGAAGTCCCCACAAAGGCCCAAATGAAAGAATGACCTACAGATGAAAAGCCTTCCATAACTTAAGTGCCCAGAGAGCATGTCATCCAATAGTCTTCTAACCAGACCCAGCCTGAAAAAAACATGATCTGAAAGAATTGCCTTAGCATCAGCAAGTGACAACTAAATTTCCTAAGGAGGAAACTCCCTAGTCCCAGGAGTGGGAATCTATGGATCCTCAACTCATGAACAAATTATTGTGCCTAGCAATAGCAATAGCTTTTAGACTTACATGCCACTCCATAATGCTTTACAGCAGTCTCAAGTGGTTTACAGATTGAGCATATTGCCCCCAACAATCTGGGTCCTCATATTACTGACCTCAGAAGATTTGAAGGCTGAATCAACCTTGAGCCCCATCAGGATTGAACTCCAGACTGTGGGCAGAATTAGCCTGCAATACTGCATTCTAACCACTGCACCACCAGGGCAACCTATACAATGGCCATGCCATCTATAGTTCAACCATGTCTGAAGGGAGAAGAGTTTACTCAACCTGATGCATTCAATCATGGATTTATCACCAATTGTTCTGGATCAAAATATACAGCCACATAGTCTTATTTCCAATGTGAAATCAACACCATTACAGAATGTGTGCAGTTATCAAAATGCCCCAGTGTTTAAACAGTTATAGTAGAAGTTTTGCTTCCTTGTTATCTTTATTTCTATTCTTGGAGGTCCTTTGTGCAGTGGAGATACCTAACCATCCAATGGATAATGGCCAATACCACTCAGAATTAACCTCATAATTCATTACACCAACTTTCCCCAATTCTGTGTTCTCTGGAGATTCCAAATTCCAACTCTTGCTATTCCAAGCTGATTTCCTACAGAAATGAAAGGTAGCTAATTGGAGGAAATTGTTCTACACAAACACCAAAGTTTCATATATAAAAAAATAAAAGTTACTGTTAAGGAAATGGTTACAGAAGGTAAAAGAAATGCAAGTTTTATACCCTTTCCCCAAATATATCCATGTCTATCCCCTCTCCAGCAGGTGAAAAAATAAAAAAGAAGCTATCTCACTTGTATTAATCAGCCATTTGCAGTCTCTTTCATTATACAGTATTAGCATAATAGCATTCTACTCTTGGATCCTTTAGTCATATAAAGGAAAGTGTCCTTTACAGCCCACTCGAATGCATACAATATTTTTACACACAAGTTTAAAAAGAGTTACTCCCAAGTGTATCCAGAATTTCAACTCTAATTTATCTGGGAATACACTATAAAGATTCAGAAGTGAAAAAGAGCAGAGTACAGCAGGAAAGTGAGAAATTGTTAATAGATGATGAGAAAGCAGAAATTCTTAATTCCTATTTTGTGCCTGTCATCTGCGTTAGACGATATTGCTATTGGACTCAAAACTGGGTCAATGACCATGCTTAATACCGGCTCATTTCAGCTTGAGGGAAAGTTTCATGTGGCGTGCTATCACAAAACCCTGTGCTTTCAATATTTTTATCAGCTAATACTCTTCAGGAACGAAAAAAGCTTCATAATATCTAATCAGGTTTAAACAATGAGCTGATGTGAAGAGGATGGATTTATCAGAGATTTAAATTCTGCACTTGGAAAAATTAAGTGAAAGATGCACGTATAGGATGGGGAAGACCTGACTAGACAGCAGTGAATGCGATAAGAGATGTACTTATTGACCAGAAATTAAACATGATATAACTGTGTGATACAGCTGCTACAAAGGCAAATCTTATCTTGGGGTGCATTAATATGTATACACAGTCCAGATCATGACAGTATTTTTTCCATTCTACTTTACCTGGCCATACCCCACTTGAAATATTCTGTCCAACATGAAGCACCAGAGTTCAAAAGTTTTGCTCAACTCAAATTGAGTACAACATTTTAGCTGAGTGTAATCATCTTTCCATCTTAAATCTAAACTCTGATTACCCCAATGTTCAAGTCTTCGTGCAATCTGCTCTACAAGGAGAATTTTTCCTTTGTTACAGGATAGTGAAGAAAATGGAAAGGAAGATGAGGGCTCCTTGGGGCTCTCTGAGCTGGATTGTTTTCTTGCAGATGTTTCATTACCCAAACTATGTAACATCATCAGTAAGGAGTAAGGTTTGCTCTCATTTCTATTCTAGTGGCTTGCCCAGTCAATGTTGGTGGGAGTGCTTTTATCACTTTTTCTTGTTCAGAGTGAGGACACAACTGCACATTTATAGGTAAAAGGTTAAGGTTCCCCATGCACATATGTGCTAGTCGTTCCCGACTCTAGGGGGTGGTGCTCATCTCCATTTCAAAGCCGAAGAGCCAGTGCTGTCCGAAGACGTCTCGGTGGTCATGTGGCCAGCATGACTAAATGCCAAAGGTGCACGGAACACTGTTACCTTCCCACCAAAGGTGGTCCCTATTTTTCTACTTGCATTTTTTACGTGCTTTTGAACTGCTAGGTTGGCAGAAGTTGGGATAAGTAACGGGAGCTCACCCCATTACACGGCACTAGGGATTCGAACCGCTGAACTGCCGAATTTTTGATCAACAAGCTCAGCATCTTAGCCACTGAGTCACCGCATCCCTGCACATTTATAACTGCCTCTAAATACTTGGGGGAAAGTATAATGAAACCTGCATTTTGGGAGAAAACAATGTAATGTGAATTGGGGAATGTGCACGGGAGAATTAGCATTAAAATTTTATTTTTAATAGGGATTCTTAATAAATATCCAAAAAGGCAGTGGTAAGGGGATTTATGCCCTATGGACAGAACAGATCAAGCCATACAGGTAACACTTCCTTCAAGTATTGTGCATCAGTCTGAATCTGGAAGTTCCATTGGCCAGAAAATGATGTTGCATCCAGGCAGTGTACAAAGCCTCTTCCAAGATGACAACGTGACTAAAGGTCTGTTGTTTTGTGACGTAGCTTCAGAGCTGTGCTTTGCACAAATGTTTCTTCAATAACTCCTAAGGCCTTGCCCATCCCTAACTTCTGATCCTTTTTCTTACCTGTCAAGTTATCTCATTCCCTTTATTCTCTTTGGTTCTGGCAGCCAAGCTTGTTTTAGCTGTTTTGCAGAAAATCTCAGAAAAGAGAGCTGGAGGTTGCAGAGGGGAAGGTGGTAAATTGTAGGGTGAAACCTGAGCTTCTGACTGTTCTTCTTTTCCTGGTAATGATCTTCCACTCTTACCTTCATCTTAATAAATGGGCAGTTTGTCCTTGCAGAACCAGGATAGGGGGTTACAATTTTCTTCTCCCCTCCCAAAAAACTTTTCAATAATTTTCTCTTTAGGAAAAAGACACATTCCCTTTAGAAAACCACTGCAACATGTTTTAACTGGAAAGAGTCGTCTGTGAATTCCTTTTCTGCAGAAAACTCAAGAAAAACCGTAGCCAATAGAAACCAGTAATTCTGATTTGCGTTGGACCACTTCAAAGAGGTCAACCCGGCTTGAGGTATGTACAGTGGCCTGTTAACTACATTGTTGTGTTGCTCAGATGAAAGCATTTCCCAAGGCACAGAAAATATTCACAATGAGAACCTGAACTCAAAAGATAAGTAGCAATAAAAATGAGGAAATTAAATAAGTTGACCCCCCAGAAAAAGGAAAATACATTTGAAAAAAAAAATAATCCGTCATCTCAACAGCTGACTCAGCATTTTCCAGACCCATCCCATGCAGACAGTTTTTTTCTTCCCAGTTACATGCATTTGTTTTCAGTTTGATAAATATAAAGTGACAAAACTGAATCGCTGATATAAGTTCTCTCTGCTTCGTTTGACTGTGAGGAGGGTCTTTTTGTGTGTGTTTTAACTGAATTATTCAGTCTTCCAGCACTGTTCCCCAGCCAGTGCAGATTGCTTATCCAACTGTCGGACATCGTTCGATGATGAATACACATTTATTGAGTCTGTAAGCACTGTGCAAAGAAGAAAAGTGAGTCCTTGCTCCTATGAGGTTAGTTTTGAATAACTTGGGGGAGAAAACCTTCGTCTCAGGTACTTTAGGACATAGAGAGGAAGACAGCTGACTAAGGTGATCACAGTCACCTTCCATAAGAACGATAAAGTTGCTATGAAGTAAACATCTGCAAGAAAGAACATATTTCTCTGTCACTCACTGTAACTAAGAAGGACATGTTTTCACGGTTAACTTTGTTTGCTTTTAATAAAAATACAGATTAAGAATTCAATTGCAATCCATCTACCCTGTTTCCCCCAAAATAAGACATCTCCTGATAATAAGCCCAATCGGGCTTTTGAGCACATGCGCTAAAATAAGCCTCCCCCCAAAAATAAGCCCTCCCCGAAAATATTTAAACACAGAGCTGGAAATCAGGTAAGACGGCAAGAGAACCCCCATCTTGTTCCACTCGCCCCAAAATAATAAGACCTCCCCGAAAATAAGGCCAAGGGGTTCAAAAAAATATAAGACAGGGTCTTATTTTCAGGGAAACACGGTATTTCAGTAGCAACTATAATAGAATTATGAACTCTGAATCAGAAATGTTAACAGGAAGCTGTTAATGGTACCAGTTTGTTGCTTAGCACGACTCCTGCTATTTCGTGGCAATCCTATAGCAATGAGTTTTAATTTTACCTTTGGGGCCTATTTGTTTTCCTATTCCGAGCCTGCTGAGTACAGAGGAAAAAGAAATTAAGCATAGCAGTTCACATAGTTCCAGCAGGCCTCGTATTAATCCTCAGTGAAGGCTACCAGTTTTGAGCTACAAAAATCCAGATTAGGATTAGATGGCGAAAAAGAAAGAACAGAAAAGAAAAATTAAAGGAGAGAAAAATAAGTAAAGAAAAATAAGCAAAACAAAATAAGCAAAGCAAAGCATTGTCTCTTTGCTGCATTTTAGCAGCTTGCTGGATTTTTATAGCACAGTTCTGATAGCCTTGTGTCAATGTTAGTAGAATTCTGCCAACAAACTTTCAGAGACAGTGGATTTTTTTTACATTAAAAGGTAAAGGTTTCCTCTGTCCATTCTAGGGGCCAGTGCTCATCTCTGGTTTTTTAGCTGAGGGAATCAGCATTGTCTGAGGACTTTTCCATGGTCATGTGGCCAGTATGACTATATGCCGAAGCACACGGAACACTGTTACTTTCCCACTGAAGTGATACCTATTTATCTATTCACATTTGCCTGCTTTTGAACTGCTAGGTGGGCAGGAGATGGCATAAGTAATGGGAACTCACCCCGTCACATGGCGCTTGGGTCTCGAACCTGGGCTGTCAGCTTTCCAGTGAGAAGCTCAGTATCTTTAACTGCTGAGTCACTGCCCTTCCCCCCTTCCCCTTTTCCTTCCTCCCCAGGTGGCAATTCTGGGGAGGAAGGAAATTCGGGGGAAGATGTGATGATTGGAAAGATCTTAACTATTTCCCATAGCTTTATTTGCACAGAATTATTCCATAAAATATTTTCTTGATAAACAATTTCTGGACATTTTAAAAGGTAGAACAGGTGAAACTGATTTTAAATTATAAGGGTAAAATAAATCTCTGACTTTTTAAAATAAAAGAGAGTTATATTTTGAAGTACAAATTTGCACATGAAACTTGGCATCCAGTGGGATGTTTTGGGCTACGGAATATTTTTTTTTAATAAACCTGCTTGTCAAGTTTTGCACAGAAGTGAAAGATAAAAATAGAAATTGGGGAAACTTAAGTAAAAATTCGGCATTGACAGTTTCACATTTGGGACCATTCCAACCGTCAATCAAGGACACCGTACTGTCTTGCTGTAAATTCAGGACTGCTTTGCAAAGGAGCTGTAATGTTCTAAATGTTCTTTCTCTACTATCAAACCCTTCAATTACCTGATTTGTTCCATTTTCACTACATGACCCGACTAACAAGAGATGGAAAATAAGCCCCTAGTAAACACATATTACTTGATAGAAAGAGTATCAATTAGAGAAACTGTGGGGGATAGTTGAGTGATTTCCCATCTCTCTAATTTTAACACAGCTGTGAAGCTTTTATTTTCTAGAAGGCTTCTCAATCCAGCTTTTATAATCCCCCTCTCAAATTTCTAGTCCCTAAGCAAGTAGCCTAGACACATACTGGTTTGAAACCAAGATCTGCCTCTTATTGCTGATATTGATCTTCCATTCATGAGAGATAATATTTCCTGATGTTTATATAAAGTTTGATCAAAAACCATTTCAGTTCTTTGGGTCCCTTGCAAAATAACTCACACCTAACTGCCTATACTTTACAATTTCAATAAAAATGTAACAGATAAAATGATCATCAATTTCCAGCTTCATTATTTAGCAGAAGATTGAGGTGTTCTTCCATTTTGCAAATAATTGAGGAAGTTTGAAGGAAGACAACACAAAAGATAGTTACCAATAAATTCATGTAAGAAGACCAGTGAGGCAATGTAGCATGACAGACTGAGTAATTCTGCCACTATCATGAGCCAATGCCACGTCTGAATGGTCAGTGCCACCATCAGCAGTTCAGTGAGGATCAAAGATGTGAAGGAAATTGCCACAATGTGGACGAATTCAGACTCAAAAAGCAGAAGTGCGCCATACATAATTATGCTGCCTGAAATGAGAGGAAATGAAAGGAGTTACAGCATCAACCAGAATGACAATTGTTGTCGACTATCTATAATGTACATGATTGGATTGAATGGAAAATAATGTCTCCAAATGATAATTGAACTGAACTATTTTGAAATAATCCAAAGCTTTGAAAGTTCAGACACACAAAAAGGATTTCTTTTTTGTGACAATACAATGTTTAGGATTTATACCTCATGAGCTGCCTATGAAGCAGTTGTGAAATTGGATCTCATCATTTTACCTCATCCGTCCTAAAACCCAGACTTGACATCAGGTAATCTCCATATTTTTGCCAAATTGAAGGAATATCTTTGTGGGCATTTGTTGAAGAGGTGGAAAAGACTACCAACCCCTGACTCAAGAGACAGATTGGAGTTCTTTTGTGGAAGCTTTCAAAAGTTTGTTCATCATTGGCAGAAGTGTTTAATGAATAGTTATGGAGTATAAAATTATATACTTCTCATTCAACCTGTGTACAATGACACTTGTTACCCTTCCTGTTGGACCCAAAACCAAGAATGACATGTAATTCTTCCAAATGAGTTTTAATTATTTCACACCTACAGACAACATCTTGCAAAACTAAACATTCTACTATCTTTACCTACAATATACTCTGTGAACTATAAGAGAGGAGCTATCTTCACCTTCTTTCTCTTACAAATCTCAAACTGAGTTGCCATTTACTCCTCTGGAATGTACCCCCTCCCTCCTGTGAACTTACCTCCTGATGAAATGAATCTGTAATTGCCAGCCAGCCCATAGACAAACCCCCCACATGATGGGGAGGGCCAAATTATAATTTTTATCTAAAACTTGCAGAACTGTATCTCGCCGCTGGAAATGGCTTTAGTACTTTGATCAATTCAGGAGAAACTGGCTTCCACAGTTCTGTTATTATACACAACCCACATAAAATAGAGTTCCAATAGTCCTTGCAGTCTTTTTTTCCCAACCTGGACTATTCTGGATGGCTAACTACCAAAATAGTTTCCTAAAGAGAAATGATTAGTGTGTATGGAAATATCTTATTTTTATCTAGTGAATCTGTTTATTCATGATTCATTCTATATTTGCAAATAAGTCTGCAAAACAATGAAGCCTATCCTATAAAAATGTTTACTGACCTGTTTGGCAAAGAAATGCTAAAAAAACCCTCTGATTCTCTTGTAAAATCCTTATTGGAACAAGTTGCACAAGAGAATTGGTGGGTTCTCCATCATTAGATATGCTGAAACTGAGGCAAAACATACTATACATTTCTCAAGGATGTTCTAATTTGAAATTCCAAATAGAATTGGGAGCTGGAATTGGTGGTGGCCATGTTTTATTAGTAGCTGGTATAGGAACATGAAAATGTAAACAGGTAACAAGCATAAGGAAGAGTAAGAAACAAGAAACCAGTTTATCACACACAGAGGAAGAAAGAATGGAAAAAAAGACTACTGTATTTGAATCTAAGGAAAATATACTTTCAGGAATCAGTGCTTTCTCATATTTGTGTGCATATTTGTTGTTTTCTTCCAACAGTAATCCCTTCTACTTCAATCAGTGCTGCTTCAAAGCAAGGGCATTAGACTCTATGGCCTAAAAACCTCTTTCCAAATCTATAATTCTGTCAGCTGCATTATGTAGAAAAGACCAGGAAATCAACTTCCTCAAATGGCTAATATCATTTTTATTGAGTTTGGTTATAAAAGCACAGAATCTTGCAAGTCTGATTGTGCTGTGCCTTTTTTTCCTTCTTACTAGTTCACTGAATGAGGGAAGCATCTGCCTGAGCCACTTCTGAATGCTATCTCTTGTTCTAAACTTAGAAAAAATGTTTCAGTTCCTTTTGCCTAGGTTGGTTTCTGCATATCTCAATACAGGTAATCTTTCCTAAATTCTACACCTTTTCTCATGAAAGAAATGGAAACATTCCTTCCTATCCAACTTCACATGATATCATTCATAATTTTATGCACATCTCTGTAGTATATATGAAACTTTCTAGCTTAAGGCTCAGAGGGACTTGGAATTGATTTTAGCTATAATCCAAAGCATACATAAGCAACTAGACCCATTAACTTCAGCAGGAACTTACATTCACTGACACATAGACACTACACTGAAGGTAGCTGAGCATGTAAGGAGATAGGATGGGAAGATAAGAGTGATTTTGCATTCTGCTTCTGGCTGATCAAAGAATGGCTTCACAGTATCCTAGAGATTCAGATGCAGACACAAGTCATGACCTCAGCATGAGTAATCTATGTTGATGAGTAATCCGCAGCCTAATTTGAAAAGCAATTTGACCAGTGACTCAAGATTAAGCCATAAAATACAGATTCAGAGAATAACCTTTCCACCATCTGGGAAGAGCTCGGTTTGGGGCCATTCTTGGGCAAAAACTACTGGCCAAATTGCATGGTGTGATCCATCAAGGGGGTGAAGTCATTCGACCCACAGAATGTAATAGGATAAGAGTCCTGGTTTAGAAATCTTTCCCACGATGTCTCATTTTTTCTGACTGACCAGAAGCCGTGTGTCCAAATGAAGGCTTTCATATTGTTTCCAGCATTGATACAGCCCTTGAAAATAATTTCTCTTGGAACGTTCTCTCACACATCTTTATTACCATCCCAACATGTTTATTTTCCTGATTTTGCTTCTCTAAAGTATCCAAAATAAGACAAGCAGTTGCCCTAGTGAATGAGGAGATATACTTGAAAACGAGTGGACAATGGATCTAAGCCATTACTATGGTATCTTGTAGCCAGATAACTTATTTCAAAATAAAGTCATTTCAATTCCTTCACTGAATTCAGTTATTTCTTGGGTTCTAGGCCATGTCATTCCTTTTTCTTCTGGTGATCAGCAGAAATGCCACTGATAAAAGGCAAATCCCTAGAAGGTGCAGCTTCAAGATGCTTACTATTCAATATGTTTGCTACCTTCTTACTATTCAATATGAATAGTAAGCAGGTAGCAAAGCTCTATGAACTACAGCTGTGTGAAGCTGCAGTACTTAGTAGAAAAATGGAGGAAGAACTTATACAACTGGAGCATGTAAACTGGATGAAACGGTTTTGGTATGGAGCATTTGACTTATGGATTGGAGGAACCCGAGACAAGTGACAATGATCTGTCCATGGAACACATGCGAGAAGAGATTGCAATGGTCTTCATCAGAACCACTTTAACATACCAGCACTTTCAAGGTGGAAATGTAGCAACAGAACCAAGAACCCTACTAATCGATGACAGCTTGATGGATTCCTCTCTGCTGCATCTAATTCCATCATTGCAGAAAAGGGAAGAATAGTTCTGGCAATGGTAGGCCTGAGATGACATAGACCAATTTCCTATGAAATTGTTGATCCTTGCTCTGTCTGTGTTCAAACTGACACCAGAGATAAATCTGCTCTTGGTCTGCATATCTCTGGCTTACCTCCAGGCCACTAGTTTTACCAGCCACTCTACAGGCTTTCTGGTGAGAAGGAAAGCAAGACTGCAGCCAAAGTCTGAGGAAATACGATCACTCAGCAGAAGCTAAACAGAACCCCTGGTGGTCAATGAGAACAAATTCAGAGCTCTCCAAAATTTGCCAGCTCTCTTTATAACTTGTGAAACTAAAAAATGGCTGAATTTCTTTTTTGACAGAGAATTATACGAAGCCAAACTTGGAGAACAGTTTATTTCAAATTTTCAGAAACACCCTGTTGAATAAAGGAAACCTCTTACCTTGATAGATACTTATTAAAACCCAGATCAAAAATGTCTTATAAGACAACGGTCTTCCCTAAAAATGAAAGGGCAGAAAAAATGAAAATGAAATCTGTCTCATATTTGTTAACCTCAAAGTCACATGCAGAAATTTGAAAGGAATACGAATGAAAGAAACTTCAAACCTTCAGGAGATCTTTGTAGAGCTCTGGATACAACATAGCCACTACTGCTTTGACATCTTTGTCCAGCACTAGAGAGAATACTGGAAACATGGTGTAGAGGGTAGAATATCTAAAAACAGGAACACAAGAAATTCCAGCTGAAGTTTACAGTCTACCATTTTAGTTTTCTTCGCAAATCCTCTCTTCATTTTCAAAAAGGTAGGACATGGAGACAAAAAGCAATGACAATGATTTCAATTTCAAAATTTATCTGTGCCAGAGGTTGTTAATTTTTTATACTCATTGGCAGGGGCCACATTTAACACATTTGCAGAGGACTAAGGAGTAATGATGCAAAGGAGGAAGACAGAATGGGGTATATACAAAGGTAGAACCCATTTTTTTTCTCCACCTTTGGGCTTATTTTAGAAGGCTTACTGCTCTTTCTTTCTTTCTTTCTTTCTTTCTTTCTTTCTTTCTTTCTTTCTTTCTTTCTTCCTTTCTTTCTTCCTTCCTTCCTTCCTTCCTTTCTCTTCCCTCCCACCCTCCCACCCTCCCACCCTTCCTCCGAATTTGTATTACAACCACTATGTTTCCTATTTCAAAATAGTGGGCAATTATGCTCATACTTTATATATAAAATGCATGGCTAAACCTGTGCTGTCTAAGTAGGTGGCAGCTGGGTTCAGAAACTGGGTTGGGTCTGACTCAGTGGTGAAATCCAAATTTTTTTACTACTGGTTCTGTGGGCATGGCTTTGTGGGCATGGTGTGGCTTGGTGGGCGTGGCAGGGGAAGGATACTCAAAATCAACATTCCCACCCCATTCCTGGGGGGAAGGATATTGCAAAATCTCTATTCCTACCCCACTCTGGGGTCAGCCAAAGGTGGTATTTGCTGGTTCTCCGAACTACTCAAAATTTCTGCTACCGGTTCTCCAGAACCTGCTGGATTTCACCCCTGATCTGACTAGCCTGTGAATGGGAGATCCCCCAGGGAATTGAGGACTGTAGGCTAGAAGGCTGGTAAAGAAAATCTTAGAAGTCAGTGGGAAGTCATTTCTGTGGTGTTGCTACAAAAACTATTGGATGAGTTTCTATGGCAACCAGAAATCAAGGTTAACTCTAGGGTATTGAAAGTATGTAAGTGTTTTACTATTAATCCTGCAAAATAACCCTGAATATTGTCTATGGAGATTCTTGGTCCTCCAGGCCATGGTTCTCCCAAAGGTGCTTTTTCCAAGAAGCAACTGAATTGTCTGGTTTTTCTTTGAAGACATTTTGCTTCTCATCCAAGATGCTTCTTCATCTCTGACTGGATGGTGTGGAATGGAGAGGATTTATATTTCTTTCAGACAACTGGTGATTTGCATTCTTTTAGAGAGACGTTGAGGAGCTTCTTGGAACTTCTGAAAGGTCTCCACACCCATTTGCACTACTCAGGTGACCCTGAGGACACAGATAAACCTCCAACTGGCCTCTAAAAGAATGCAAATGACCAGCTATCTGCAAGGAATAACCTTGAAATATTAAAATTTGAAGAGATGAAAGACTGCAGGTCTTAAGAAGCTATTTTATACAATCAGTGTCTTAATTCAACGAGGTCGGAGTGCTCTGCAGACTCCGTTGTCTTTCTCAGTTTATGTTACCAGATACTTTGAATTGGAAAAGATCAATTCCTGGGACTGTCTGAGTACAAATTAGATACTCTACTACTCAGCTACTAACTTTCCCCCACTGTTAATGTCTAAGCGCTGCTTGACCTCTAAAATAAACAGTTATAAAGAAAGACGTAATAAGTCTTATGTGCTACATAAATGTGGTGACCAGATATGCAAAAAAAAATATGCACATGTACACATCAAGAGTTGGATCTGCTTGCGTTTTCTTGGCCAGATTATATTTTGAACAAAACCTCAAAGTATGCTGCTGAAATGGTCCAAAGATCCAGGACTTAATTTTATCCAAAACGCAACAGGACTCAGCCTCAAACCTTCCCTATGCTGCTGGGCTTTCACCCAAAAAAACAGTGATGTGGGGCACTGGCATTCATTTTATTTTCTTTCTGCAAAAGAGTCATATTATAAAAACATGGCTACACGATTTTGTTTACTTTTTTTAAAAAAAATCTGCACCCTGCTTTTTGTTTTCAGAAAAGACACCTCCCTTTCCCCCTCTCCCCTCCAACATGTTATATACCATTGCTTCTGGGATACAAAAGTTGCTTTAACAGCTAAAATTGGTCCTAATGGGATCCATGTGCTTTTTAATGGTTGCTGGATTAAAGTTGCTTTGAAACTGTGCATCTTCAAAGTGTCCTGCTTCGTTCCGATAAGAGCAGCAGAGGCAGGAAGGAAGGAGCGCGACATTTTGGCCTGTGCTACACATTGCCATGACCGTTTTCAAACTCAGGAAGGCTTCAAACAAATCTCATTATACATTTTAACGATACCACAGGGAAGGGTTTGGCTCTTACCCAATGATGAGGAAGCCTTGATAGAGCGGAACAGAAGCAAAGTAAAACACCGAAGAGAAAACTGCCTATGGAATAAAAGGCAAGGAATTATTAGGCTTCAAAGCAAAAAGAAAACAAGAGTCAATGACAACTATCTCTTCAGCTTTCTCTTAACGGAAAGAGTTGGCGCTCCCTCATTTGTCAAGTAGGTGACAAGGCAAGTAGTGAAAATTAACACTCAGGACTCAGGAATGAGAAAAGACCACAGGTGGCTTCTCCACCCAGAAAGATTTGGAAATTTAGAAAAGGAGACATTGATGTTCATGGTAAATTAAATCCTAGTGAAAGCGTGTGTGTTTTTTTTTTAAAGGGTTCCAAAGGATATGATGCCTATTCAATAATTCAAAATTTTTTGAAAGTCATTATACAATCAAAACCAGAGATATTTCTGCTAGGGCTGATGGATAAAAATTTAGGAAAACTGCATGGTATTCTATTCCTATATATGATAATGACAGTAAGACTTTTATATCCCCAATAGTGGGAAGAGTTGACATTATCTACAATGCAAGAATGGTTGGCAAAGTTGATGGTGTTGGCTGAGATATTGAAACTGAGGGTCTCATTAGAGAAAAAGCATTGGGTAACTTTCATGCTAATTGGAAGTCCCTTTTGGACTTTTTTTTTGCACAAACAGAAAAAATGAAATGATATATGGATTTGGGGACTATTAATGTTCATAGATGATAAAAAATGGATGTGAATTACTTTTTATTTATATCTTCTGTAAAAGAAGTCTGAAATTATTCTTTCTTTTTTGCATTTCTGCTTCTTCCTATAATTTTTACTTTTTCTTCTTTTCTATCTTTTTTTCATTAGTTCTTATTAGTTTTTATCTTTTTACTTTAAAATTTAACAAAATTATTGTGTTCAAAAATGATTCCAAATCGGTGTAACTCACTGACAAACTGCTATCTGTTTTCCACACATGGAAGAGAAACCCTATCAGTTGAATGTGAGAAAGTAGGAATTTACGGACCAAAAGAAACAATGCTCAGTTCTTGTTTAATTGATTTCTCTTATTTTCTTTGCCATTTGGACAGAGCAAAGTAGAAATCCTATGTGGATTTTTTTTTTAAAAAGAAAAACCTCCTGTCTGGAGTCAAATGACCAGAGGACACTAAAGACAGTAAAGAAACATCACTGACCTGCATGGTACTGATGCACAAACTTCTGTGGATCACAAACTGGCTGAGAGCAGCAGATCTTTTGTAGCTGTTTCTTCCATGCACCATCAGTAGCCGTCCCAGGTGCTTAAACTGAGTGATGGAGAAATCTGCTGCAAGTGAGGCTTGTTTTCCTTCCTAGGAATACCGTGAAACAAAAATATCAATACCCTCCATCATTACAAAACCCAGAATTCTCCTGCCACAAAAGCAGGCATCGTTCTAGTTGTATACAGAAGCCTGTTCTCCTTAGATCAGCACATAAAGTCACTTGAATCAGGCATCTGACCGCGGTGAACATGGTATGTGCCTTTTGCACAGCTCCCTCACCTTTAAAACTGAGAAGTGAAGGAGTTCCAAAGAACGAGGATTTTTCTTTTTTACCAGTGTCTGGTTGATTTACAGTGCTATTCTATGCAGATTATTCACAGGTAAACTCATCTGTATTTAGTAGAGTTTACTGCAGTGTAATCCACATGCAGAATGTAGCCTTAGGATATCTGAGGCATTCACAAAATCATTTTCAGTTTTCTACTTGTGTTTTCCCAAAAATAAGACCCTGTCTTACATTTTTTTGCCACCAAAAAAGGCACCAGGTCTTATTTTCGGGGGAGGGGATGTCATCAACTGACTCACTACACTTGAGTGTGTTGTCCCTGGTTTCCTTTTCGCTGTCAGAGGCCTTCAGGAATTTCTTCTGCAGACGGCAAGGCTAAAGGCATCTGCAATCGATAACAGAGCTCCAGATCGATCCAGAGCTCTGTTATCGGCTGCAGAGGCCTTCAGGAAAGCCTTGCTGGCGTTGCTACCTGCAGAAGAAATGGGCTGGCAAGGCAGGTGTCGGGGTGTGCGAGGCGTGGCTGAAACTGTCCAAAAGTAAGTAGTAGGACAGCTCCACCCCCCATCCCCAGCTTAATTTTTATCCGTGCATCCTGAAGTGGGCAGGATCTTAATTAGGGCTTATTTTGGGAGTAGGGCTTAATATTGGGCACACATGTAAAAATCAAGCTAGGACTTACTTTGGGGGTAGGTTGTATTTTCAGGGAAACATAGTACTTCTATTTATTGTTATTTATTTATAACACATTTTCTCTTTTTTTCTTGCAGGTAGTCTTTGATTTATGACCACAATTGGGACCAAAATTTCTGTTGATAAGCAAGATGGGGGTTGTGACTTGTGCCTAATTTTCACAATCTTTTTGGTCATGGTCCTTAAGTGAATCATTGCTGTTGTTGAAGTGAATCAAATGGACATTAAGTGAATCCAGTTTGATATTATGCCCATGTGATGCCATCACAACTCTCACTGCATGTTAAGGATGCCATGACTATCTCAAAATCATTTCTTAATACTTTTGGATAAGAGCAGTGGTGAAATGTAAATTTTGTTACTACCGGTTCCATGGGCGTGGCTTGGTGGGGGGGGTGTAATATGACTGAGTGGGCGTGGCCAACTTTTTTTTTTTTAACTTTTAAAACCATTTTTTGTACAACCTCTTCGGCTGAGAGGCTGTAAAAAAAATGCTTTTAAAGCCTCTGACAATCCCAGCTGACTTGCCTGATTGGCAGAGGCTTTTTTTCCTTTTAAAAACATTTTTTCTATAACCTCTTCGGCTGAAGAAGTTGTAGAAAAAATGCTTTTAAAAATTTTAAAAAAGCCTCTGATGATTGCGCGGCTCAGCCGGGCAATTGGGGGGGGGGGCAGGAATTTTTGCTACCGGTTCTCTGAACCATCCGCTTCCATCGCTACCAGATCAGGCGATCCGGTCCGAACTGGGAGCATTTCACCCCTGGATAAGAGGGAAAACAATGCCCCGGTTAGGAATAAAATCAGACCAGAAAGGTATAGGATGACAGTTTAATCAAAAACATGTGTCTTAAATTGGGGCTAAAATCCTAAAAATTTGACACCCGCCAACACTGTGAGTGGGACCACATCACATCTGTAGGCTCAGGAAAAAAATATATTTTTTTTTTACTTTTCCATTGCGTCATGTCTATTTTAAGGATTATACTTACATTTTTATGGTTTTCTCATATTAAAATAGGAATAAGCAATTATGGTCAAAGGAGGAAGGGTCTTTGATAAATAAAGAAAAAATTTGTCCAGAGAGCTTCCAAGGTTGTGTTCCATAAATCAGATGAAACTCTCATTGTGAGATTATGTCTATCCATTGAAATAAAGCATATCCCTCTCTCCTGAAATCCCTATCATTATGACTGTTGCATTCAAACTAAACATCATGCTTTGACTTACCTTTCCTTCAACACCAACACCACAGTCTGCCTCCTGAATCATACTGACATCATTTCCCCCGTCACCTGTAACACATAAGATCAAAAAAATTCAGGAAAATTTGGAGTGGCTTAGAATGCTAGCAATCAGATACGATCCGTAGCTATTCTACAGTATGTTTCCATTTTAAAAGACTTATCAAGGTAAAAAGAAAACAGAAGCCATGATGAGAAACATGGAGAATTATAAATGGAAAACTGTTCCAGAGTCAACATTGTAAATCTATGTGAGTGAGACAGCTGTAAAATAAGTGCTCTGTTTGGAACCACTCCTGGTATTAAAACCAACACTTTCAGTCTAATTGGGTATAAAGTACACTGTGTTGCTGCAAAGGGATAGTTCCAACATGGGAATGCTTCCAGGGCTGTTGTAGCATTTTTCTACAACCTTAGGGCAAGCCCAAGTGATGGGCATAGAGTCAAATTGGGCATATGGACATTCAAGTTTTACCTGCATGCATCTAGTGAATGAAACAGCTCATTACCGCAAGCTAATGAATTTCAACTAGCAGGTGAAATTTTAAAAAAAGAACTACACAGACACCTTCAGAGAGACAAAGAAACACAAAATTTCCCCCATGGAATGAGGTGGAGACATCTGAAACACATCTGGCTTAAATTCATAAGTTATCTGGAAGCCACACAGGGCAAATGGTGGAAGCACTGAATCATAAGAACATCCCATTTTTTGCCGTTTTCTTTATGGTTGAAAGCCAGTTCCAGTTCCCCTTGCTAGCCAAGGTTGGATCTGATTAGGTTTTACTTGGTCTGCTATAGCTAACCATAAAGAGACAAATCATTTTAGCTGTAGAATTCCTAGCTGGCAATGACGTCCTTTTGATTTTATTGTAACCCTTTGGTTACAATAATGGATTCCAGAGCTTCATTATACATGCAACATAAAATGAAAAGAACAGCAGGATGGATATTCTAATATCACTAGCAGTTTAGCATTTCTTTGGACAATTATTTCAGGTCATTCAATATAGATTTCACTGTCTCTTTTCACGTTTTAACTATGCTATGTTTTTTTTTTTTTTCAGTATCATGAGGTGTAAAGTAAGCAAGCGGAATAACTAAATAAAAGAGCAGAACACGTTTCACGGGGCCTATTTTCAAGAAAAGCAGAGATAATAAAACATGATGGCTAAAATTCAAACCCACAAAGTCTGGGGGAAAAGAGTTAAGAGCTGCAGTTGTAGAAAATGCAATAAAATAAAATAAAATAAATCCACTATTTGATAGCCACTGAAGTTGGAACTGCAATTTCCAAGTGAAAATCCTCTTAAAAAAACTTTGCATGTATATAAGGGATTGAATTTAAAATGTGGTTTTCTTTCATTAAGAATAAATTATTCCTTAGGAAGAACTGTACCTTTTATCTAATCTGAAACCTATCTAAATTTAAATCCATGGAAATAAAGGTAAAGGTAAAGGTTCCCCTCGCACATATGGGCTAGTCATTCCCGACTCTAGGAGGCGGTGCTCATCTCTGTTTCAAAGCCGAAGAGCCAACGCTGTCCAAAGACGTCTCCGTGGTCAAGTGGCCGGCATGACTAAACGCCAAAGATGCATGGAACGCTGTTACCTTCCTACCAAAAGTTGGTCCCTATTTTTCTACTTGCATTTTTACATGCTTTCGAACTGGTAGGTTGGCAGAAGCTGGGACAAGTAACGGGAGCTCACTCCATTACGCGGCACTAGGGATTCGAACCGCTGAACTGCCGACCTTTCAATCGACAAGCTCAGTGTCTTAGCCACTGAGCCACTGCATTCCTTAGCTCCATGGAAATAAACAGCATAAATAAGGGCTAACAATATTGCTGAATTTATGCCCCTCAAACACTCAATATGGGATGAAGAAGAGTTATCCCATCTCTCTGAGAACTGGAACTCTGGAGATTTAGGACAATGATAATATCTGGCTGCAAGAATGGCAAGGCTATTTAATCCAAGTACTGTAATCCTCAAATTTCAACCATTGGTTTAATAATTATTCAAAGTTGCAATGGCACTGAAAAAGGTGCTTTACAACTGGTCCTTGAACTTATGACTGTTTTGGTTGTGATCACGTGATCAAAATTCAAGCCCGTCACAATTTACAATGGTTACGGAGTCCCAGGGTCATGTGATCATCATTTGTGACATTCCCAGTCTGTTTCCAAGAAGCAAAGTCAATGGGGGAAACTGGATTTTCTTAATGAACATAACATTCACTTAACAACTGCAGTGATTTGCTTAACAACTGTGGGAGAAATATCATAAAATAAGGCACAACCCACTTAACAACTGCCTTGCTTAACAACAGAAATTCTGGTTCCAACTGTGATTATAAGTTGAGGACTACCAATAAACTCAATTGATTAAGAGCCATCAAATCACTGTCAACTCTTAGCAATCACACAGATTTTCTCCACGATAATCTCTTCCAAGAACACCAAAATGTCTGTGGTTATGATGGCATGGTTTAATTACTCTTCTGCAAGTGACCAGGAGGTTAGACTCAATGATCGCTTCTGATCTCTCTTTATTCTTTGCAAAATTATTACATTTGCATGGAAAGGGCTACCTCATAGCTACATCCATGGATTTGCTTTCCTTTCATTTCATGGGGTGCTGCAGTGGTGGGTTGCTACCAGTTCGCCCCGGTTTGGGTGAACTGGTAGCAGCGACGGCGAGAGGCTCCGCCCACCCACCTGGACATCATCAAAAACGCTCTGTGCATGCGCAGAACCTTCTGCGCATGCGCAGAAGCGCCACATGCTCCCAATAGCGAACTGATAACACCGGGATTTGAAACCCACTACTGGGGTGCTGCTTCAGAAACTCTCTAACCTTTATTAAAACTCCAGAAAAATAGAAAACCCATAGATGTGTGATGTTTAAATCATAGCTTTTTCTCCGTTTCCATGCACTGAGGAACCAATATATAGAAAAAGATGCTAAACTAGAGAATCCAATTGGAGAATCCCTACTATGAGAGATTGCAGGGAGGCTAGGAAATAAAGATAAGAAGAAACAACTGAAAAACTGAAGAATAATCCACAGATAGCTTAACCAAGGGGTGTCAAACTCAAGACCGGGGGGGAGGGGGGGCAGGCAGATCTGGCCCACAGGGTACTTAGATCTGGCCTGTGGGGCCACCCTGGAATCAGCGAAGGACCAGCCTGCAGTGCTTCTGCCAGCGAAAACGGGCTCCTGAGCTCCGTTTTTGTCTGCTACGGTCTCCTGCAACCCTCTACCAGTGAAAACAGAGCTCAGGAGGGCCGCATGCCTGCCGGCCTGTTGCTTGTGCAAATTGAGCTGCTCATGTGCATGCATGTTCCAGCCAGCCCCTCATGTGACCCAATTCCAAATACCCCCCAGCCCGGTAGTGGGTTGCAGCCTGGGGGTTGGGGACCACTGATCTGTAGATACCCCAAGAATAACCTAAAAGATACCATACTGAAGTACGTCTAATCTTTGCTTCCTTGATGTCACCTGTGTGAGGCTTAACACCTACCTACTGCGCAGGTCAGCTTCCCAGTTCTCTCCTTGAGTAAGCGTACAATCTGAGCCTTTTGTGTTGGGGCACATCTACAGCAGATGACTGCTGGACACTGGCAAGCCAGTTCCATGAACTCGTACTCATAGTATTTCAAGCATACCTATTCCATGAAAAAAAAAAAAGAAACAAATAAAGGTAATGGGATGCAGATATTCTTTGCCGACCCCTGTCCCTTGTAAGAGCCTGATGTTCTAGATCAAGTGTTTCTCGGTCGTGGCAACTTTAAGATAAAGCTAAGAGTTCTAGGACAACTTCTTTTCAAGGTTGAAAAACATTTCCCTGGAGGAATTTGAGTGAAGGCCTTTCTGGCCAAAGCTGGCACCTGCTGCAGAAACAGGAGCCAGGAGCTCCAGCCCACCTCTCACCTCCAAGGAATCCCCAGAAATCACCAGCGCACAGTCATGCTTGCGGCGGAAAGCATTTAGCTCCAAATGTGCTTCTCCACGGTTGGTCACCTGGACAGGAGAGAACGGGTAGCTTAATGTCAGCAGAGAATTCATTGTAAGTCACATGGGGATCAAATCAGCCAGATGGTGGGTATGGTGCTCTGATCCAAGCCCTGCCACTTCTGTACTTGCAGGTCTTATTTATTTAGTATATATGTAGGCTGCCCCAATCTGTCGTAATTCTGTGTGGGTGAGAAAATAAGACAATAGAAACAAGACTATACATAATCCCCAAAATAAAAAAAAAGGTTAAGGTTAGGCAAAATGAAGAAGCCAATACAAGGGACCACCATCTACTCTCATTCATGGCTTTGAGAAAATCCAGGTTTTAAAAGTTTGTTTAAGTGGGGCCTGGAAGATATGAATCTTGGTGGATGAGGAATTGTGTTTCAGAGAGCAGGCACCATGACAAAAATAAAAGGCCTGCTTTCTGGTTCCCATCACACAATCTATTGGACCTGGAGGATGTCAACCAGTGGTGGGTTCCAACCGGCTTTACTACCGGTTCTCTTCGTGCACGCCTATCAGCTGGGCTAAAAAAGAAGAAATAAAGGTAGGAATAACGTGGGGGCGGGCAGGAGGGCCCAGGTCCCAGACAAAGAGAACCGGTTCGGTGACGTCACATCGTCACCACTACCGGCTCGGCCGAACTGGGCCGAACTGGGAAGAACCCACCACTGATGTCAACCTACCACAGAATGCATGAGATGGGCAGAAACTACTGGTAATAGACTGACACTCAGATAGCAAAGCCTTATTCCATGAAGGGCTTTATAAGTAATATCCAGGACCTTGAATTGCACATAGGACCTTATGGTAACTATTATAGTTACAATGCAGAAGTGTTACCTGAACATATCACAGCATGCTCATAACTCTGGTGTATTATATTTCAAGTAATTACACTGCAATTGTCCAGACATAAGGTGACCAAAGCATGAATGACTGTCTTAAGGGCCTTCAACTTCAAGCACAACTGACACACTAAATTAATTTGGGTGAAAGTCCTCCTGACAACAGCTGTTGCCTGCTATTCAAGCAGAAGATATGAACTCTGAAAGATCTCCAGATTGTGACTAATCCTGAAAACGATAGTGCAGTCCAATTCAGGACCAAATATGGATGGAAGCAGTCCAGATTTTTTTGGGGGGGGGGGGGGGGGAGAATCCAATTAATCACAACTGCCCAGTCTTGTCAGGATTGAGCCTAAGCCTGTTCAGCTCAGATTCACACAGCGCCTCCAGACACTGGGAGAAGATCTTGAGAAGCGTGAGATTCATAACTGCGTATCATCAGCACACTGATGAACTCACCCAGTGGCCTCAAATAGAAAGGGCAATTGCCCAAACCCTCTCCCCACCTCTCAACACTGACCAAAACCAATCACAGAGAAAGGAAGAGATCACTAGAACATCCTGATCCCCACTCCTAATACCTGGAGGATACCTGTTCTGACCTAGGCTTCCCAAGAGCATGAAGCAGATTTCTTGTCCCGACAAAAAACCCTTTTTATTAAGTTACTGTTAATTCTTCTCATTCACATCCAGCGAAGTCTTTCAAGGGTGAATTTAGTCACAGACCTTATCTGGCTTGTAGAGCTGCCAGACCGGTATCTTCAAAACTTGGCAAGGAGTCATGAACCAATTAAGCGAATTAATTGTCTCCTGCAAACTCCACTCCCCTTTCGCTCCTCTTTTATTCCCTCTGGGAGGGGCCATTCATCATCCACCTGTGGCCTTACTCCCAAATTGACCCTTGTTCTTTTGCTGTTCCCTTCGTCTAGCAACTCTGCGCATGTGCACATGGGAACAGGCTCCAGCTGTTTGTCTGCCTCACTGATGTCTGACTCTGAAGGCAGCTGATAACTGGCATACGGCCCTGGCCCCCTCTCTGTCTCCGATGCAGAGCCCTCATCAGAGCCTTCCCCAGACTTCAGACTGGCCCATGTTCCTCCCCAACCTCCTCACTGTCCAAATCTGCTGCCAGCTCTGCTGGCGGGCCACAACAATACCATGGTCAATGATACTGAAAGCTGCTGGATATCAAGAAGAACCGGGGTGGCTGCCCATAAATCCTGCATTTTGCTCCTCCCTAGCAAGGAATGAGTCACAGCCCAAAAAAAAAAAAAAAAAAAGACCTACTGGGCAGCTAGTTGAGGATGTGATAAAGCTGGAGAAATAATTACATTTCACCGTTCTTATTGCTACCATGTAATCCCTAGGCTCTCATTCATCCTCAATTAGATTCAAAGACCCTTTGTCTTCTTCCAACAGCACTCTAGGCCTTTTTCTGGCATTTTGTCTCCTGAAGTTCCTCAGAAAAATCAAGAAACTCATTAGGATCGTTACACAGTGAAAGGCCACAGAGGAGCAATTTGATCCAAGGATTGTAGGCAGCAAAAAGTGACTCAAATGTTGCAGATTTTTGAATGCTTACAAACTTACATTAGTGTGGATCTTATCCAGAACATAGAAGAACGATTAGTGGCTCAAAGAAGTAAAAGAAAGCACTGATCAGTCTGGGGGGAAAACAGGACATATAAAGGTAGGAAGAGAATTGGGTTATGAATATGACACTATTCTCACCTAAACATTTTTCTGACATAATTCAGTGCATTCTTACTTGGTAAAGAAAGTATAAAGTATTCAAATCCAAAGAAGACAAGGACATTTCAGATTTGGCAGAGATATCTTTGGCATACCTGTATCAAGCAGAGGAGGTGTGTGCACAGTAATTCCAAAACAACTAGTTTCTTGCTTTTGGGGGTCTGTATACCACATATTTTTGCTGTATACAGCAAAAAAATAAATAAAAAATAACCAAATCTGGTTTTTGAATGGAACTATCAGTATCCAGGGGTACGTCTGCATAGCCCTCTCTTTTTATTCTTACACCCATGATCACACTTTGTGAAGAGATTGCTCCATCCCGGTCAACGCTATGAACTTGTGGCAATTTTAAGAGAGGATCTATTGAAAGAATTCTAGAAGACAAAGATCAGTAATTTCTAGTGCTCTTTAGGAAATTTAATGCCACTGTATTAAAAGAGCTGAAGTCAATAGCATAAGGAAGAACACACAATATAGTTCAGAAATGAAAGTGACTGTTAAACGCAGGGCTAAAGGACAGGCTGCATAAAGATCTGCATCTCTACTTTAATGACTCAGGATAGTCCTTTTGCCTGAGACAATTTAGCTTAAATGAACAAAGTGATATTCCATCTTTTATTGCACAGCCATGGTACAGAAACACAGTGGCCTTTCTTGGTTTGCCCAATGAAATCTTGGAGCCTGACATTTTGCAAAATGCCCTCAGAAAACATTTTCAAAGAGATGCAGGGTTCCTTTTACAGAACAACAAGGATGAGCAATAAATTAGTTCTTCAAGACAAGGCAGGAGAAAACAACATTCACACTGGTTTCAAATCTTCAGTGAAGGGCGGATTTGGAAAATAAGCCAAAGTGCTTTGCTGTAATATTTTTTTGGGGGGGGGAGAGGAAGAGAACCATCAGAACAAGAATTAACCATTTTAACATTTTTGATTTGTTCATAAAATGCATTTCTGCCCAGCATTTTGTCTTGTTCAAGAACTTATTTCAGGAGCGATCCAAGCACCCTAATAAAATTGAGCCTGCAAGAAATTGGAGGAAACAAGAGCTCTTTTTCCACGTTGAAGTTCCATGTTCTAGGATCCATCGTATGCAATGATGTTTGCAGCAAAGTTAGGCTTATATCATATGCTCAGGCTGTAGTCTACAAGCACAGTGAAGCTGAATGTTATTTCCCCCCAATTCAAAATAAAGCTCTGTGGACAAGTGCTAAGTAAATTAAGTTTTATTTGTATTACTCACCAGTCTAAATATATGAATGTCCTGAGACCTGGTTACCAGATGTGCATTCTTAGCTGTACACGTGGCTGTTTCCAGTTTATCCCCTGTGAGCATCCATACCTAGAATAAAAAAAAAAATTCAAAACCTCACATGAATAGAAACAAAGAGCCAGTATAATGCAATGGTTTGCTTTGGACCAGACTCCCTGGAGACTCAGATTCAAGATCCCACTCAACCACAGGACTCACTATGTGGATCACTTTTTCTCAAGTCAGCTTACAAGGCTGATGTTCTGGGGATAATATTAGAAGAAGCTCATATTTAAGCTGCATTCAACTCTAAAAGGAAAGCAGGTTGCATTAAATGTAGTAAATAAATAATGGTAAATAATAAAAAGGCACTTAATAAATGTTTAGCTTGTAGGAAAGTTAATATATATATTATATTTTAGATATTTAGAAGCCAATGTGGCACTGTGGTTAAGACCAGGATCCTGGAGACTCAGGTTTGTCTATTTTCAGCTATGGAAAATCATGGGGTGAAATCATTCTCTCTCAAATCAACCTACCCCACACCATTACTGTTGTGGGGAAAACACAGAAGAGGAAATACTAAGTATGCTGCCTTGGGGTCCTGGAGGAAAGTTATATAAATCTAACAAATCAATCAATAAAATTAGTAAAGATGACCCTATAAAAATACAAAAATCTCCGTTGTGTCAAGAGATTGATGACTTCCTGTGATTTCATGGACATACCCATTTCTTTTTCTTGGCACTAGAGTAGAACACCATTAGGAAAATTGGAGAAGACCCATCCTCCCTGACGTATCATGATTTTTTCCAACTACCCAACATCTAGGCACTGTAAAAATAAATAGAAGGAACTTGCACCTTTATACCAAGTAGATTATCTCTGTCTTCTGGATAATAGAGTTGGACAAACTAAGGACAAGGACAAATCTGAAAGTAAGTCCCATGATTTTTTATTTTTATTTTTATTTTTATTTGATTTATATGCCGCCCTTCTCCGGAGACTCAGGGCGGCTTACAATGCGTTAAGCAATAGCCTTCATACTTTTGTATATTTATACAAAGTCAGCTTATTGCCCCCACAAACTGGGTCCTCAATGATAAAAGTATAAATGATAAAAGTATGTAGCTTCTACTACTTCAAGGGCTTCACCACACTTTGCAAGGTAAGAGCACTGAGTTAGGGACCAGTAGGGTGGAAGGATTAAGTGGTGAAATACTATCCATAGGGATCTCCCAGTATTAATTAGGTGGGGTCAAGTTGAGTCTGGACTGGATTTTAATTAAAATATAATTGAAATCCTACACCGAGAAGAGATTTAGGTATGATGGCCTCAATAGTCTTTTCAAATCCCATGATTCTTTAAAGTTTTATATAAATGCAATTGACAAAAGCAATTTTAGCAATTGCGTATTTGGAATAAATTACATGGAATTTAAAAGTAATTGTTAAAAAGCCTTTTTATATCATACTGGAATCTAAGAGATATATTTCGCAAAAACATGAGTCAACCTTGACCATTTTTGGAGATGGAAGCTGCAGCTAAGACAAATGGCACCAATAATGCAGTAATGGATGTTCTATAAAGGCAGCTTTAAACTGCTCCATGTGGCAGCTGTCTCAATGCAACAGGCTGTTTGTGTGAAGAAGATGCAGCAAGAAAGGTCTGTGGTGACATGGAGAAAATTGCCACATCCACACAATGAGTCATTGTACATCATGAGAAGACAGTAACCATGTGGACAACTTCATAGAGATTTTCACATAGCAACCAAAATATGCGCGCAAGTCTCTGATTAAACTTTTTAATAGTCAGTGGAATCCAACAAAATTGGCCTGCTTTGCATATTGCACAATTGTTGCTTTGTTGGGAAATACATCTTATGGAATGGGCACTAGTGATATATAATCATGTACATCTTATGGAATGGGCACGAGCAGTGGTGAAATTAAAAAAATTCCCCTACCGGTTCTGTGGGCGTGGCTTGTTGGGGGGAGGTCATGTGACTGGCTGGGCATGGCCAACTTGACATCACTCACATCGAGGGGCTCCTCACTGGCCCCTCCCCTCCGCCACTCCTTGTTGTGAATGGCAGGAAAATGGGGAGGGGAATATTCCTACCTACCATCCGTCCCTCAGTCTGTGCTGAGATTGAGGAATGGATGACAGGCAGGAAAATCCCCTTCCCCATTTTCCTGCCTTTCATAAAAATGGCTCCATTCCAGCTGCTCTCCCCCACCCCTGTCACCCTCCCTCCTGGGGACTACCTTAAAAGGGACAGGCTGCATCAGCTCCATTCTGAATGGAGGGAGAAAAGTTAGCATTCTCTCTGCTGCATTTAACATTGAATAACTTTTCTCCCTCCATTCACAACGGAGCTGCTGCTCCCTTTATGGTTCCCTCCTGGCCTCCTCCCTCCTGGGGACTACCTTAAAGGGACAGGCTGCAGCAGCTCAGTTCTGAATGGAGGGAGAAAAGTTAGCATTCTCTCTGCTGCACTTAACATTGAATTCTGTGGAATATTGAGCGGCTAGAAGAGGTGAGCGGTGACCAGCCGGGCATGGGTGGGGCCAATGAGGGGTGATTACTACTGGTTCGGCAAACTGATGCCAATAATTCCTAGCGGTTCACCCAAACTGGTCTGAACTGGTAGGATTTGATCCTTGGGCACAAGGTATATAATCATGTAACCTGCCATAAATTCTACTACACATTTTGTTTTGTATTGCCAGTTGTAAATTGCAAATTTATCTTTGATACTTATGATATTTCTATAGTATACTGCAATGTTTTTCAACCTTGGCTGCTTGAAGTGTGGACTTCAACTCCCAGAATTCCCCAGCCAATTTGAAGGAGCACTTATGTACCACCTGATGCCAAGTTTTTCAAGCAGTCATGCATTTTCCTGAGATTTCTAATCTATTACGGGATATGAGAATTCACACTGGGAAGAGTTATAATTGATATGGGAAGGAATTGAACACTTTCAACAGGCAAAGCCAAGAGTTTGGGGAGCATTTCTGAGTAGCACAAGCATGGCCTTGGGTATTTCTCTACATCTTGGATATCGTATCCATTCTCCCTTTTTTCACAAAAGTTCAAGTCTTGGCCTTCATGGAAAATTGTAAAATAAGAATAAACTCCATGCTGCCATTCTTTCCCTTCAGACAGGAATCCAAAGTCCCATGGTTTCAGACAAGCATTCTATATATCATTAATACAATTGAGCGTGTCCAGAAATATTTCACAAGAAGAGTCCTCCACTCCTCTGCTTGTAACAAAATACCTTATGCCACCAGACTTGAAATTCTGGGTTTAGAAAATTTAGAACTACGCCACCTTCGGTATGACCTAAGCATAGCTTATAAAATCATCTGCTACAATGTCCTACCTGTCAATGACTACTTCAGCTTCAACCACAACAATACATGAGCACACAATAGATATAAACTTAAAGTGAACCACTCCAGACTCGATTGCAGAAAATATGAATTCAGTAACAGAGTTGTTAATGCCTGGAATGCACTACCAAACTCTGTGGTCTCATCCCAAAACCCCCAAAACTTTAACCTAAGACTGTCTACTGTTGACCTCACCCCATTCCTAAGAGGTCTGTAAGGGGCATGCATAAGAGAACCAGCATGCCTACCGTCCCTGTCCTAATGTTCCCTTTAATTGTATTCATTTTATGTATTCAATTCATGCTTATATATATTATCTAATATGTACTTGACAAAGTAAAATAAATAAAAATAAAAATCACACATGGCTTCATGTTAGCCAACAGGAAGCACAATTCAGTACTTTCTTTATACTATATACACACTGAAATTTGTACAAGATAGTCCAGTTTGCTTGGTAATGCTAACAATAATGAAATCAGCTGAACTATGTTACTCGGGATGAGACAGGTACTTTAGTTATAAGCTGATTTAAAAAGCTTGCTTTCCTGACATAGGGAAATACCAGCTATGGGTGATTCCTAAGCCACCATTTTTTCCCCAATATAAGTGCTCTCTGAATAGACAGACTCCCAACTCTCAGTCATTCTGGGAATCCACACAGCAGGTGGGTACTCATATATTAACAATGCCTACTATAAAAGTATACAGAAGTTAAAGGTCTTTCAGTTTGAGCTTAATTCTTTTTAAACTTCATGAAACATCCTTGTATTTTTCTTGGCTTGCTATTGTTTTCTTATGAAGTGTTCTTTTTTTACCTGCCAATCTAGCCTTCAGTCAATCTTTCCTGGAAGATTCCGATACTAATCAGCTCTGACCAAGGTTAGCTTTTAAAAATCAGCCAAGGTCAGCTAGGTGCTGCCATCTACTTATCTCACCAGATATAAAGAGAGATCAATCAAATAAAATGCATTCCCTTGGAAGTTTTATTGGGCTGTCAATCTCTCTGCCTTTAGAAATATCTGGCTCTGAAATCGCATTCTTAATGGAACTGATGACAATTTCAGCTGCTCTTTGGTTATATTTAAACAGGTTATATTATATTATATATTTATATTGTTTTTATTTATATTTGCCTGACAGTAGTCCTGACACTGGTCTGAATACCCTGGAAAAGTGTGCAACAGGAAAGTCAGATAAACTGCAGGATCCAGAGCAGTGGGAAGTCTTTGTAATGCCACCTTTGTCAAATCCCTGAATTTACTTAGAAGCAGAATGGAATATACTTCCTATTTCAGTGGAACATTCTGCTCAGATAATGTTAATTGAAGGGGAAATGCTGTTCTTCTACCAAAAATCGTAGCAATACCAAACCAGAATTCTCAGATGTGACTCCATAAACAACGTAGGTACTTAACCGATACCGGTAGTCCTTAGCTTACAACCACAACTGAGTCAAGAATTATGGTCGTGAGTCTTTCTATGGATATTAAGCAAAGCCATTGTCTACAATGGGCATTTTTTTTTTGGAAACTAAATGTAAATGCTGGTTTCTGGCAAAAAAAAAAATGCGGTCATATGACTGTGGGAAGCTGTAAACAGCCATAAATTGGGGCCAGTTGCTGAATGCCCAAAATACAACTGATGTGACTGTGGGTGTAGTGTCAGCTGTCAGAACTTTGAATACGGTTTGTATCTTTTTTTTGGTTCTGTTGTAACATTGAATGATTGCTAAGTGACTGGTCGTAAGTCAAGGACTACCTGTAGTGTTTTATATACTGACAGCATTATTAAGGTGCTCCTAATGATGTGGAATAGGGAGGCGGTGGCTCAGTGATTAAGATGCTGAGCTTGTTGATCGAAAGGTTGGTAGTTCAGCGGTTCGAATCCCTAGTGCCGCGTAACGGGGTGAGCTCCCGTTACTTGTCCCAGCTTCTGCCAACCTAGCAGTTTGAAAGCATGTAAAAAATGTAAGTAGAAAAATAGGGACCACCTTTGGTGGGAAGGTAACAGCGTTCCGTGCGCCTTTGGCATTTAGTCATGCCAGCCACATGACCACGGAGACGTCTTCGGACAGTGCTGGCTCTTCGTCTTAGAAATGGAGATGGGCATCACCCCCTAGAGCCGGGAACGACTAGCACGCATGTGCGGGGGAACCTTTACCTTTTAATGATGTGGAAATAATCCATTTCTGCTCATTATAATTCTGTCATGTTTATTCAGCCATAGACTAGTACACTGTGGGGGGGGGAACAGTAAATCTTACACTTTTGATTTCTGAATCAATCATACCTTAATGCCAGCATTTTTCAGAGTTTCCAAAGTTGGCCTGACATCCACCTGTAGCTGATCTTCTACTCCAGTCAGGCACAGAAGCTCCATCTCCATCTCCAGACTCTCAATCACTGTGGCTACCTTCAGGGAGCGATCGTGGACACTTAATTTTGCTTGGACGTAGCGGGCCTAAGGAAGATCACGAGAGACACATCCCTTTACTACTTGCTCATTCACTAAGTGCTTAGCTCATATTAGAACAAAGTACCATGGATGAGGAAAAGCAGGGACAATTTCCCAAGAGCCAGCAGCAATGCCCCCACCTCTATTTTAAAAGCAGCCAGATCGTGCTTTTCAGTTTTGGCAGCAAAAAGCTAAAATTCAGCAGCATAATTTTTGGTTTCCTTTTTTAACCCTCAAGACAAAAATCAGGTGCATTAAGCCTTTTCAGGGTTTTAGGAGCTATCTTCTTGTCTTTCTTCACGTGCACAACAAAACTAAACAAAACTAAAAGCATGCATACAGACACATAAAAATTTTGGATCAACCATTCCTTCCCACAATGTCACTGTATCACCATGATGCCCCCTGGTGGCTCAGAGAAGATTAAATAAAACGCAGCTCCAGCAGGGGAAAAAGTATCCCTCTCATTTAAAAAACTGGGCAATTACTATTTTTTTTAAAAAAAAAACTAGGTGTGGAAGCAAATATATTCCTTCACTTGCAATTGCCAGCATGTTTATAGGGTAGGGAAGAGGAGGAAAAGAGCAGGAAACATATGGGTTGGGTAGCCTCTCCCTCTCTCTCTCTCTCTGTCTCTCTCTCTCTCTCTCTCTCTCTCTGTGTGTGTGTGTGTCTATATATTCCACTCCCTCCTAAAGCCAGATGGGAAGAGACTGGCCCACATTTCAAGAATCTTTATCTGTGAGAAGAACATGGGAGAATGGTGAGTCAACTGGCTGGCATCCACAAGTTTGATGTGGCCCTTGAGCTGCCAGCTGGCTGCCATTGATACATTAGGAGCACATCCAGAGCAGCCCTCATGTCATAAGTCATTTTTATTTTAGCCTTTGTCCTTCAACATCCTGGAATAAATTATATAGCATCATCAAGGGTGGTGGAGCAGAAGACAATGCAAGATATTCTTCCCCAACAGGTGCCCTCCATGCTGTGCAGCCACACATACTCTGACTGTGCTAGCTAGAATTGGTTGAAATTATATGGATTCCTTTCTCCTTGTCATGCAAGGTAGAATAGAATAAAGTAGAATCGAATCGAATCAAATCAAATTGAATAGAATCGGTTTATTGGCCAAGTATGATTGGACACACAAGGAATTTGTCTCCAGTGTATAAGCTCTCAGTGTACATACAGTATACATACAATAAAGTAATGTAATAATAAGATATCTAGAGGAAAAGGTAGTAGAAAAAATGAGAAGGATAATATTAATACAGCCATTCTACATGAGTAAATACCCTTAAATCTTCTTATGAAGATTTATTCGTGCCTTCTGTTTGCCCTATATCCTTCTTTGATATAAGTGTTATAAAGTATTTTGCACTACTCACTTAACCAGACCAGTTAAAGATCTAGGGACTGCATTTGCACAGCATGCCTAGATAGACTATTAACTTTGGTTAGGTGTTTTAATGGTTTAGTAAGTGTGTGGTGCAAATCCAACCGACTAGATTAGTTTATTCATGCTTTGTGTACCTATAATATCGGTTAACGTAAAAACCAAGTTAAGCATATTGTGTCAATATAAGCCATCTTAGTTATTCTACACTTGATGCCTTCCATGTGGATAGATTTTCTCCCAGAATTCTTGGCAATGGCTATATAGATAGAGGAATTATGGAAGATAAAGTTCTGTTCTGGAGGGCATCTAATATAGAAAAGACTACTCACAAGAGTTAAGATATAGAAATATAGAAAAGACTACTCACAAGAGGTAAGAAACAGTTCGTGAGGTTGGAATTGTAAAACAGCCACATCCAGAGGTGGGCTGCTGCCAGTTCAGACTGGTTTGGGAGAACTGGTAGTTGCAATCCCTGTCCCAGCACTATCCCGTCCTATATTGCCATGTTTTTGAAGCCACGTACATGGTCGGAAGGCGCGCTCGCACATTTTCGGTACTGGGTGAACCGGTTGTTACAACCGGCATCAGCCCACCACTGGCCACATCCAATGAAAATGATAAGATACAAGTGGTATATATTTTATACAGCCAACTCACTCATCCATTTTCCAAAATGTTCTAAAGGTAACCCTTCCAGTCTGGAAGTTGCCAATGCATGATGGACTGTGGCCAATTCCATCTTTCCCAAGAAAAGGAAACAGCAAGCATAGTAGTTTACGGTTTAACCTATTTAGGCACTGCCCTGCTTATTCCAGACATAAATGGGATATTCATTTTGAGCTCTATTTCATATTTAATTTGCTTACCTCAAAATCTTGATATTGCTCCTCAGACAGGGATTTCTTTGCTACTACAAGAACCCTTAATCCTTCTCTTGCCATGTTACCACACTATAAAGGAATACAGACATATTCTTATAAGCTAATCTGACATTGGAAATAAATATTAGCATAATAATTGTCCCTGTTTTTTTTTTCAGAGAGCATAATTTAAAAATTCCAAAATTATGGAATTGCATCATAATAGTAATACTATAGTTTTAATAAAACTATAAGTAATAAAATTGAAACTGTAGTTTTAAAAGTCATCTACAAAATAATGGTTACAGTTTTATATCAAAGGCTAGCAATCTTTTCAACCCAAAAATCTTGCAAGACTTTGACTATTTTACCTTAAAATGTTATTTGATTTTTGGTGAGAATGCTAAACTAAGGTGAAATCTCAAATAAAATCTGGATTTTTTAAAAAATGTAAAAACTTGGTTGAGCTTGCTAGAACCTCCTGTGATCTAGCAACCTTCTAAAATTTTAGCAAAAATATAATTAAATTCCAGATTAATTTTGGAGAAAAATCACACTATTACCAGATGCATGGATACCCACGTGTTTTACATAGTGTTTCAAGTCTTAGGTTTCTCCCATGCAGGACAATGTAAAATATTTTTCCTCATTTTTTTCTGGGACAGCTAAATGATGGAGATTTCCAAAAATTTTAGATTTTGCATGGAATTACTATTGCATAGGTAAATTGCAAAGACCATTCTAATAAAGATGGTCTACATAAGCAAGTTGCATGAAATATATCTGCAGATTCAAGATGTGTATATACACCTCACCATTATGCACACACGTTGCCCTACTTTTACTTTTCTTTACCATATCTATAAGTAGAACATACATCCCTCCTCTCCTCTCCTCTCCTCTCCTCTCCTCTCCTCTCCTCGCCTCTCCTCTCCTCTTCTGTTTGCAGATGGTCTTTTCTTGCCTTCAAATGATTTGGTTACTACTCCCACTACCCCACAGTGGCCAGCCAGGCTAACAATGGAAGTTGTAGTACAACAGATAGCTGCCAGGTTAGGAAAGGCTGAGTTATATCATCAGGAGCATTCAAAGCATTTTCTGAATTCAATTTCATACTTCTAATGAGAATTTCATACTTGCAAATGTAAAAAAAAGTCACAGCATTGAGAATGCTGTTCTGTACCTCTTCCTCTAGCCAGTCATTGTACTGAACAATGCCTGCCATAACCACATCCGCCCCTTTCATGTAGAATGTTATTTCTCCTGTAGATTCATCCTGAAAGAGATAGAAAACAGGGAAGAGAAATAAATGAAATGACAAAAGGGGGAAAAAAAATCTCAGGCGCCCTGTTTTAATACAGATACTAAAGATACAGAAATCTATTCATAAAATATGCAATACATCAATTTAATGTCATTGTGTGTTATTCTAGAAATGCTTAACTTGAAGAACCATAAATCAGCAAAAGAAAATTGCTGTCTCCAAAGAATATAAGGTAGTGCAGTTCAGAAGAAGAAAAAATGGAAGAAAGGAAAAGTTTTATGTCATTTAAAAAACAATGTGGAATCTTAGCAAGCAAAAGTTAGCTTTCTATTATGAATTGCTATCTTCTTCCCTCCCCAATTTGCACAGTGTGTAGGAGTCAGTTTGATAGAGGGAGTCTCTTTTATAAAAAAGACTATCGTACCATCATTTTATTTTTAAAAAGAGGGAACATTGGGGAAAGGTTCTTATCCTTTCCTACCCACAAAGCATATAATGGTCCTTCTTTTGATCAGATCATCATTCTCATGCAATTAATTTTTAAAAAATAGATGTGCATATGTCATTTATGTATTACTTGTTTGTTTCTTAATATCTACATCTATTTGGTCTGGGTATTATCAGTTTCTAAGATACATTTAGCCTGAAAAACAGTTAATTAAATTGCAACTTTCTTCCATTATTTCCAAGTCTGTCATATAGAAGATGAAATAAATTTTCTGTTTCTCCAAAGAGTATGTCCTATAGTAACAGGTTAAGATTACAGGATATAAGATTTGTTCTAAATGCTTGAATTTTCTGAAGAGATAATTTTGGAAGTAGAAAAACTTTTATTGAAGATTATTGAAGATTAGCAGTTGTGTGACCACTTATGAAGAATGGTATAACTATGAACTTCTAATATCATTGGGGCGTGGACTAAATAGCCTTTGAACTCCTTACTAATTCAGTGTGTCTAAGAGCTAACACTAACAATCAAACAAAGTAATACATCTGTGTACGTCCACTAATAATTTATACTTGAAGCAAGTGCTCCAATGACTGAATGCTCCACCATAAAACAAATTCCAAACTCTCCACGTATATTAGCATATCAAGGAAATCAATTCTACCCTAGCCTTTTGCTTGACCTGTAAATTTTCTATGCGTTTGAACAAAATAAACAGAATTTGATGATGTAAGTTCTATCAAGAAGGGAGAATGGGTTGATGTTCTATCTAATGACAGGTGTTATTGGCTGAAGTCCCAGGCTGAGGTCAGGTTCCCACTGTTTTGCATGGAAAAAGGTCACTGCTATTTCCTCATTCCAGCCATTCTCTTGCAAAGGATAAAACATTACACTAATTCACATTTAGGGTTAAAATACACACATGTACATTATCTTCCCCTCCCCCCCCAAAAAAATCCATTTGAAATTGGTGAGTATTAAATCACAGGATTAAGGCTGTAATCCTATACTCACCTAACTGGAATTAACTACACCGAATCCAAAGGGAATGTTGAGAGAGAGAAATTTATTAGTTGGTCTATAAATAAGAAATATGTATACTGTTCAGATTCTGTAGACTCCGCTTTTGAGCAGAAGTTCTACAGCTGGGCCGATCTTGTTTTCTTTCTCCCTCCCAAATGATTTTCAGCCACGAACACATTTTTCTTCTAAAATCTTTGGGATTCCCCCAGAGCCATTGTGGAGCAGTGATTAAGACGTTAGATAAGAACTGAAGACTCATTTCAAATCCATCCTTATCCATGGAAGCTGACTGTCAGTCAGCCAGATGAAAAAACAAACCCAGTTGAAGTTAATAGAAAAGACTTGATGCAAATCCAGGAAGATTATAGTATCTCAATAACATAAACAGAGTGAAAAGAGGATAACCAGCCAAAAAAAAAAAGTTCTGGAAACCTCTAAAAAGCTATAGAAACTAGAATGGGACAAAGTGCCAGAAATCTCATTTTTACAACCTCTGCTCACAATTAACTAATATTGTAATAACAGTTCCATAATTTTGAGAAAACGCAGGAGGTACCTAGTGTACGTTTTCAGGCTTAATCAAAAAAAAAAAAATCTCTTCCTGACAAAACCAAGGAGGGAAAAAAAGAGAAAATTCTGGTCACTTTGCATTATTGCCCTTCCCATTATTCCCCCCAAATGGTAGATGCAGTCCCTAGATTCTCTTTGTTTGTTGGAAAGAAAAGAAATTAAATTTGGTGTTGAGACTTGGGCTTGTAGACATGCCTTCTGTAGAGATGGGAATGGCTGACCTCTCAACAGTATGTGATTTAACACTAAGACCAAATACAAAATTTCTCTCCTCCATTGATACTGTAGAGTACACCTGCTGAAGAACGCAAAAGATTTCTTTCATCAGATGAAGAAAGAGTTAAGTGGACTTCTCTCCCTTCTCCTCTGTTTTTTTTTATTTTTAAAAACATTTATATAAGCTTGATCAACAATCTTCTTTAGCACTGTAATATCTTGAGGCTGGAAATCAACACAAAGATAAACACCATAACCTTATTTATACCAGTGGCTTTTACATATGGCAGTGGCACATTATTTGTCATCTTTGACAAAAGGACATATGACAATGGAGTCATCTGTCAATGCAAACTTCCAATTTCAAATCCAAGGGTGCCAGGAAAAAAAAAAACACATTAAAATATTTCCAACACAAATTAAGATCAATGTTTGTGCATTACACGTTTAAACTGTTGAGATATGTTTTAATAACTTTTTGATAGGAAACTAACAAGAAAGTCCACTTCCTGCAGCGCAGAACTAGTTTTAAGAGCGTTTAGATCTTTTGTCCAATATAAATATCATATCAACTATCTCCTTGCATTAGTCATTTCCTCTCACCAAGTTCAGTAGGAGGTTAGCACATTCCCATGATATGGCACGATTACAAGTATAAATCTGCAGAAAGATTTGCCAGTTGTATTGTTTCTCAACCACATCTTTTTCCACCATAGTCTGATTTTGGGCCAAGGTTCAAAGGCCTTTCCCTCCCTCCCCCAACTCCCACTTGACACATGACAATAGCAGTTTCTGAGTTGCAAAAAAAAAACCAAAAAAAAAAATTATTCTCCATTCCAACTGCTCAGAAGAAGAGAGACTGGAAAGTTTTTGTGGTTGAACAAACAGCTACCTCCCTACCAATAAGAGGCAGCAACTGTCTTATTTTGCCCAGCTTGTTGGCTATAACAGGATCCCTGGAATCAGATACTATGAAAGCAGACAAATCTTTAACAGCCTCCTCTTAAGAAGAAGACGCTACAAAACTCAGAGAGAGGGAGATTGCTAATTGTTTTACCATTTGCAAGGCAGCTATTTCTAGAGAATCTAGAAAAGGTATTTGGCCTTTTTTTTTTAACTCGGCCACAAAGATTATAAGTAAAACAAACATGATCCAACATCTTATTACTAACAGTGCTTTTGTATTTGAGATTGCCCATCTTTTCCTCTTTCTATTTCTCTATATCACATATCAACATGTTATCTCTCAGTATTTTCATCCTCTTAAAACAAAAAACAGTCCCAATTGATGCATGCATATGTAGGAAATAGAGGGGATGCGGTGGCTTAGTGGCTAAGACGCTGAGCTGATTGAAAGGTCGGCAGTTCAGAGGTTCGAATCCCTAGTGCTGTGTAATGGGGTGAGATCCCATTACTTGACCCAGCTTCTGCCAACCTAGCAGTTTGAAAGCAAGTAAAAAAGGCAAGTAGGAAAATAGGGATCACTTTGGTGGAAGGTAACAGCGTTCTATGCACCTTTGGCATTTAGTCATGCCTGCCACATGACCACGGAAACGTCTTCGGACAGTGCTGGCTCATTGGCTTTGAAACGGAGATAAGTACCGCCTCCTAGAGTCAGGAACAACTAGCACATATGTGCGAGGGGAACCTTTACCTTGTACTATGTAGGAAATACATCGCAGTTATGAATTGAATAACAGGAGGTAGGAAGTGTAGGAAAATGAAGATTCAGAAATATCAGCTTCTCTGAACCTTCTCTATAAACTGAGAGTTTTCTTATGGCAGAAAAAAAATCAATAAGCATTTTCCCCACTGCTAGAAGACACAATAAGAATTAACTTGGAAAGAAATATAATCAAATTCAAAAGGATGGAGTTAGAAGGTAGTTCAGATTCTTCCAATGGGTCTCTAGAAAATTTGCAGTACTTTTGGAGATAAATTTTTGACTCCTAATTGATTATCAAGAACAGTAGTTTTAACCTGAGGAAAAGAAAGCAGCTTGGAAAAATAGGCAGATTTTTTGGGGGGGGGGGTATGAGCTCCATTCTGTTCAAAACATTTTAGTATTAAGATTCCAGAGGAGTCTTATAGCAATCATTCCCAGCCATTATCTTTATGCAGATCACAATTCCATCAACAGTTTGTGAAGGGCACTATATAAACCAGGGATTAGGAAAAGAATGTCTCTATATATTATGGCACGTGTAACACACATGTCCATATGTTAATCCTATTTTTTTTTTAAAAAAAGAGAGATGTGAATCATTTACAGGTAATTACATATTTTGCACCAGTCTCTGCTTTATAAAATATCCTAATAAAGAAATAATAACAACAATACATCTGGAGCAGCACTTGAATACCACTGGCGTTGACAAAATCTCCATCAGTCAATTGCAAAAGACAGCTTTACTTGGAACAGCTTACATCCTGTGACAATATCATTAATATAATTAAGCAGCAACATCTGCCTATCCCAGACCCTTGGGAAGGACTTGATAGGTGGTTAAAAATGCCAAAACCAGTCTAAACATTTAGCTGACTGTATAACCACCTACCCACAATAAATTGGTTCCTAAAACCCTGAAATCTCACCCCAATTTACAGAGAATGCTTCTCCCCGTGTGCTTATTCATCTTACCCGAACAATGATCCCCATTCGTTTACTTTCGTACGTGAAGGGGAAAATCTGCAGGATGGTATAGTTTAGAATGTGGCCACCAGGAGTCCTCAGCTGCACAGAAGCCTGGTCTCTTCCAACCAGTGTCAAGCCAACACTTTCTGTCCATTGCACCAGGGCCACCTAAGCACAAGAGAAGTCACAGGTCAGATAGACTGCTGAGCTAGTGGGTTCAGAGGTCAAGCGAATGCAACAGGAGGGAGGAGGGAAAAAGGCAAAGTGAAGAAGAAAGTGATTCGATTATTAACTGTACCATTTCCTCTCTTGGATTCCTCAGCCTTTGCCGTGGTTAGAAGTGACTTTCTAATTTGATAACACCTGGGACTAGCAGATGTGGTTTATATGGTTAGGGTTGGGAATATGACAGCAATTGAGAGAATGACGTATCCAGGAGCCTGAGGTTCCCAATCTTGCTCTCCTTTCATCCCATCCCTCTAGAACAGTGTTTCTCAATCTTGGCACTTCAAGATGTGTGAAGCCAAGCATGCTGACTGGGGAATTCTGGGAGTTGAAGTCCACGTATCTTGAAGTGACCAAGGTTGAGAAATACTGCTCGAGAATCTCAAAGGTAAATGACTGAGCAACTTCAGCACCCTGAAATGTACACTGAAACAAGAATAAATAAAGAATAAATAATGAATTAGCTTTTGTCCCAATGCTTTCCATTAGCTACATACAGTACAATCCTTGGAAAGTTAAATAATTTTTCTCTGGATAAATTTTAAAAAGTTCTTAACAACATTGTGGGGTTTGTTTTTTTTTTTGGTTGCCAACCTTTTTTTTAAAAAAATATTTTTTCCCCCATGATGAAGAAAGGAAAAGGAAAATACTCTGCCTTAACGTCAACCATGTTGCTAGGACAGGGGAAAATATAGAAAATACTGAGAAAATAACAATTTATGAATACAATGATTAATGAGTGTGAGGATCAATTTATCTTTCATTGTGAGTTCCAATGAATTACTCTGAAACTAACACGCCCAAATATTTCCTCTGCATCTCTTTGCCCAAATATTATCTAATAAGATATGGAATAGGAGATTAATTTCAGGCTATACTCCCATCAATGAACCTTCCTAGGCTGCAGCCATTATTAGCGTCCCATATAGCATGGGTGTCAAACTCACCATGCCACGTTGCCTTCACATGTTTTGCGATGTTTTCCCATGTGCAGAGCCTGCATGTGACGCATCTGGCCCACGGGCTGCCAGTTTGACATCCCTGTCATATAGCAAGCTTTTCTTGCGTCTTGTGCTTTAGCAATGTTATTTGACATACAGTCCTTAACTTACAACCATTCATTTAGTGACCATTTGAAGTTACAAGGCACTGAAAAAAAAAAGTGACTTATGATTGTTTTTCACACTTAAGGCTGTTGCAACATCCCATGGTCACATGATAAAAATACAGACACTTGGCGAATGGCATGCATTTATGGCAGTTGTGGTGTCCTGATATCATGTGATCACCTTTAGCGACCTTCAGACAAGCAAAGTCAATGGAGAAGCCAGATTCGCTGACTGGGGAATTCTGGGAGTTGAAGTCCACGTATCTTGAAGTGACCAAGGTTGAGAAATACTGCTCGAGAATCTCAAAGGTAAATGACTGAGCAACAACCATGTTACTAACTTAACTGCTGTGATTCACTTAACAACTGTAGCAAGAAAGATTGAAAAATGGGGCAAAATTTATTTAACAACTGTCTGGCTTAGCAATGGAAAATTTGGGCTCAATTCTGGTAGTCAGTTGAGGACTACCTCTATGTAAATTGCACAAAGGAGCTGCAACCAAAAAAATGCAGCATGGATTGCTTCTTCCTCAGGGAAGCCAGTTTTCAAGACGCTCAATAATTTCTCATTAATTTCTACTCTTTTTTTCTTCCCCTCTCACATGTTTTAGTCAGCATTTTTCCACTAATGAGAGCAAACTTCTCATTGAGGTGAACTGGGGGTGGGGAATGTCTCACCTTTTAAGAAATTGGCACATTTAAAAATTTCCCTTGATGGTATCTGTCTTTTCTGTCAATCGTATTGCTTTGGCTACCTATCTTTATTCAAAATATGAGTTTGCTGTGAGTACGTGACAGTCATCATGAAAGGGTGCTGCTGGGTGAGGAGGAACTTAATAAAATCATTATTTGAGGAAGATGAGATTAAGCTTCTCGATTAGAGGACTTTTATGCAGGGATTTCTACCACATGCAAGAAAAAGTGGTAAGCCAAAAATCCAATCCTTGAGGTCAAATGGTTTGGGTTGACCAATCTCTCTCCTCCTTTGCCCTCAAACTGAAAAGAAGAAGGCACAGCTGGTATGCGGTTTAATGTGACTATGTGATAGTTACATATGTTATTCCAGGCATTAAGTGACGTGTTGTTAAAATGCTATTCTTAGCTGATGGATTAGTGAATCTAGATCTAATAAAAGGGAAAGGCACGTGGCTTTTAGGAACGGGGTAGCCGATTAACAATCTGGCATTGGTCTATGTAAGCCACAGCCTGCATTAAACCGAAAACTGCCTCTCTGTAGGGGCTTGCTTGCTTGCTTAGCTCTCACTTCATCTGTGCACCTGTAAACACTTCTCTTAAAAATGCAAAAGATCTCCAATGATCCTTCTATAAAGGAAATTCCTAGGATTACCGCAGGGTAATTCTGGTGATTACCACAGCATAAGATGGCAGTGGAGCAGTGATATGTTTTTGGGCTGAACGGCCATGGTTTAGTTTGATTTAGTTCTGACGTTTTACCCGATGTTGTGGCCGGCATCTTCAGAAGCACATAGAGAGGTACACCACAAGGCAACACACTCCGTCTCTGAAGACGCCAACCACAGCGTCTGATGAAACATCAGAACAAAAGCAAACTAGATCATGGCTGTTCATCCCAAAAGCTCATTGCTACTTTGATGCCAGCCATGAAATTCTATATCAATATGTAAGACAATAGTCTTGCTATAGCCCTCTAATTATTGGCTAGCATTCCTGTAACTTTCTAGCAATTGAACACTCCTTGCTCATGAACTCATCTGAATTTATTGGCCAACAAGGCTCTTGATTAATGCCACTTCAGACCTATGGAGATATATAAAGAGACCCTTCTTATTTTTTACTCAAAGTCTCATTTTGATGGCAGGATCCTTGTGAACAGCTGCTTGTAATGTAGTTGATAGACACATTTTTTTCACATTCTGGGAAGTGGTGAGGTGTTTTGCGGGGGGTTAAAGGCCACTTGGTCATGTCTTCTCCTGGGCAAGTTATCTGATCAGATTCTACCTCTTACTTAATTTCCCCTCGGTTACTGTAAGGCCTCAATCAGACAGAATGACGGAGCCCCAGAGGCTGTAACTGATCTCTCTATAAAGATGCTTTCAGGAGCTTTGGCCCAGGAATGCACACCGGAAACAAATGTAGGAAACCCAGCTTTGTGTTTCAGGAAATGAATGCTGTGCCAACTGGTAGAAATTATCCTTTTTCTTCAGAAAAAGGGGGGTTAGGGAGATGGACCTTCAAGGTTTTGTTCGAATTTCAACATTAACTGCTCTTCCTGACTTAACAATATTTTATTACTATAAAGTTTCAAAGGTAGATTTTTAGAAGTCTGTTAAAGCAACATTTCACTGATTTCCTACAGGGAATGGCTTAGCCATATCAAAATTCAGAAAAGTAACTTTAGCTTTTTTCTTTCTTTAAAAAAAAGAAAGAAGCCAACTTTTTAGGGGTGAAGACAATGGAAGACTTATATTGTCAATATTGTCAAAGAAATTATATTCTTCCAAGACAGGATTTTATCATGAAAGATTTAACTTTTAAAACAAAATAAAATTCTGGTATATTTGCTTGTGAGAGTCAGTTGGAGCAGTGGTTAAGGCATCAGCTTAAAAACCGGGAGACTGTGAGTTCTAGTTCCTCCTTGGACACAAAGCTGGCTGGATGACCTGGGGCCGCTAATTTCTTCTCAGCCCTAGGAAGGCACTTTTGAAAAATCTTACCAAGAAAACTAGACATGATTGAATGGAAATAAAAGAAAATTGTATGATTTGAGAAATCTTATTTATATAAACCAATTACATTGCCATGGATAAATTCCAGGCATTAATGTCATATGAAATTTAACAGCTGTACTTACATTATCCATCAAAATACCATTAACCATATTTGGAAAACAAAAGGGGGGGAAAAAGGCATATTAAGAAATAAAAAGACAATAACATTCTTTTGAGGACCATTTTACCTCATCAGGACTAGCAGCTTGGTACACCCTGCAAGAATCTTCATAATGCTTCTCAGCTTCAGCCTGATCTGTCACACCATTCGATTCGTAGACAGGAGTCACATTGTGGCAGAGCGCAATTGCTTTCACTGCCTCATGGACACGGCTGCTCAGGGTTTTTCGTACTTTGGTAGCCAGGCTGGGTGCTTTTAAAACAGGTGGTTCCTGCGACTGCTAGAAGAGAGGGGAAAAGAGGCTGATTGCAATTAATATCCTGAAATTAATACTCTCCTTATGAGTCTGGCCATTCTGAAGATCAAAACTGATGATAAAAATACATTGTAGGACAGAAAAAGTAATTAATTTATTTGCTTAGCCCACAAAGGCGATTAGAAAGAATTTATCTAGTGTACCATTTCCTCAAAATGTCCTGTTTCTATGGGATAAATGAACATATTGCACAAACAGTTTAAAAGTAAGCAGTTACAAAGTTAGGAGCACTCTTATGTGTTCCCACTGAGGTCAATGAGATTTAAACATACACAAGGTTTCCCCCCCTCATTTTTCAGTCTGTCTTTAAGGCAAAAAGTATTCTAAGGATGGCAACACACTCTATACAAATAAAAAAAAATTAAAGCACACTTAGAAACACAATTAATGGACATTTGGACAATTGTGCATGGTCAGCTACTTCTCAGCATATGGAATAAATTCATTATTCAGTGAAGTTTAACTTCATAGCAGCATTCACTTTCAAAATTAAGTGTTCAAGAGATAAATGGCCCCTTGAAATATTGTGCATCTGGAAGATACTTTTAGCAAGAATAATCTCTCTCTCTCAGCATTGTTGTCTTCATAACCTTAAGACATTTTGACCATAGTAATTGATATGAATATTTGAATACTGAATATTTGGAGTTGGGAGAAGGGGTTTGTGCATTTGGTGACTAGATCATAAATAATCTTATAGAAATGGGTGGCTGAGACAGAACAGTTAGGGATCCATGACTAATCTTACTGTTAATTATATAGTTTATTATATGGGGAATGTCTGGTGAGATAAATTGTCCTCACCAACACCAAAGATCCGCCCTGTTGGATAACATTATAATGAAGGAAGCAAAAGAGTTGGCAATGTTATAGCACCACAGTAAATTAACCTCAGGGAGAGGAAGAAAATAAAAACAACATTTATCTCAAATAACTCCTTGTAAAATTACTTGTTACTGTTAATTACTGTTACTGTTATGCTGTGAAGGATAATACAACATGGTAGGAGCTCTCATCAATTGTTCTCCCATCTCAACATTATTCTAAGGAGCAGATCCTATAATTCTTTAGTCTAGATCAACCAAGTATTCCTAAGGACATGCTTCAGCTGGGAATTTGTTATCAATAACACTACTAAGATCATTGTCGTGTCCTACGAATTTCACCAATCAAAATTTAGAGGGGAGGGAAAATGGTTTTCCTTGTTGCTAATTTTACAGAAGTGGGTGTTGGATGCTAATCAATGTACATTGCCAAGACATCTATGTGTCTTGGCCACACCAGACAACTAAGCCTCACTCAGCATGACCAATCAGCCACATGACCAACTGATCATATAAGACCTATAAAAGCAGAAGAGAACTGAAACAAGACTTCACTTCAACTGAAAGTTCTACTGATGATGTTACCTATCCTGGTAACAAAACATTCAGAAACTAAGCAACAAATTCAAAAGAACAAACCACCACCACCATCTATGTAGTTCCTGGTCTATCCATTGTATGCCTCAATTTAGACAATCAACAACATCAAAAGGACAACTGTACAGGAATGTTTTTCATTGATCAAGAGAGGACAGATTACTTTTCATTGGTAGCATTAAGCTCCATAAAAATATAAATTTACAGGAAAGCAAACTTAGCAAAAGATGTTTAATGCATAGGATATGATGTTATAAACATAGAAAAGGAAAAAATAAACCCAAGTGGGCAGATATGAGGGTCGAAAGTTTTAATTTTTATTACTGTTTTCAAAGTCTGCACCAAACCTTCCAGGTAATTTCACAATTACTAAATTATGCTGGTCACAGGGGAATATATAACCATTGAGTTTCCTGTGCTGTTAACCTCTTGTGTCAAGAGGACAAAAGTTTCACTTCCAGGTCAAAGGGCATAGCATGGTACCAATAATTAGAGCAATGAATCAGAACTACAGTTTAAATGAATCATGGCCAGCAAATGCTTCCAATTACCAGAGATTCTAACCTTTCAATTATGTTTAAGCTTGCACTCATTGAGACATCCCTTACCACTGTTAGCTGCTTCTTTCATCTTATTAAATGAAACTATATTAATTAAAGTTGATCTTGGCTACAGGTTGGAGCCAGGAAATAGAACAGTGATCTGCAGATCTACTTTTCCTGCTTCCAGTTAGGTTGTGATGGGGAGAAATTATCTAGGAGGCAGCCTATTTAAGGGTCCCTGATTGTGTATACAGAACCTGGATTAATATCATTTACCCATACGAGGTCATTGTCAGATTATGCTGAGGCCAGTAACCTTTTTCAGGATATTGCATGGCCACTGCCCAGTGGCTGAAATCTCACAAGATCAACACATTTTGTAAACTGTTGGACATCTATTTTTGTTAGTTTAAGTTTGGGGTTTCCAAAGATGTTTTGTGGTATTGCTGCAGGTGTGTCAACCTCTGGGTTGTGCTGAAGGCAGGGTGGGGTGGGCGAGAAGGAGGCAAGACCAGAAGATGTGATCCTGTTCCACCTTTGAAGCAAATTTATTATAGAGTTTGAAGAGCTTTAAAATCTTCACTTTAAAAAAAAACACAAGCTTTTCCTGCCCCGAATTGTACCTCTCCTATTACTCTGATTTGTGGAAAGAAGGTGTATAAAAACAAAGCTAGTGTTAAGTGTTATTTGCTTCCCATCTTCTACATCTATTTAAAAACAGGAGCTAAAATGTCTCTAGCCAGAAAAGATAAATCACTATTTCTGTCTTTATTGGAGAAGCAAATGAATAACATGATTTTTTAAGACATTCAGCTAAAGGTCTGGGTTAATTCCATTATTTCTCTAATATTAAATTTTTGTTATTGCAAGAATCATGCAGCATGGAGAAAATGTGTCCTACTATTAAAGAGTCAGTTTGTCTAGTGCTTAAGGCACCAGGCTAGAAACCAGGAGACTGAGTTCTAGTCCCATCTTGGGCCAGTTCTTATCTCTCAGTCCTTAGAAGGAGTTTGTTTGTTTGTTTGTTCAACTTATATAATGGAAAACCACTTCCAAAAAACTCTGCCAAGAAAACTGAAGGAACTTGTCCAGACAGTTGGCAGGAGTCAAAACTGATTTGAAGGCAAAAGAAAAAAAGAAAAAAAGCCCTGTTATAAGACACTATGCAATCATTACCATTCTAATTTTTTTCCCCCTTCTCAACAGATTTTCTATGGAAATGAAAACTGGAAAAAGTAGTATGGAGAGAAAACCAGGAATAGGTTTTACAAATGAAGGAAATGCTACTCAATTTCAAAACAGTGTGCCATGTAGCACTAAATGCTGTGTTTAACAAAAAGTTTAATTTTTCAGGATTTATTGTAGTATATGCCACAAGCGGGAGATTCATGGCCCTCCGGAGGTTGCTGGATTCTTTGGCTTAGCTGATTTTTCATCTTCCATACAGAAACAGTACGAAAACATCATTTCCTGATGCCAGAATTATGGTTCAGCAACATCTTTTAATTCTATCATTCCTTAACTCTGACATAGCCTCATAATTTTGCTTACCTGTGTATATATGCTAAAGATATGGCTCTGAACTTCATCTATGGAGTCAAACCCATAAGCCATTGTTCCAAGATGGACACGTTTGAAAACCATCTCATTCTGTGTTAGAGTCCCTAGAATAGGAAAATTACATATTATGGCACAGAAAGAGCAAATTAAACACCAAGAAACATTTCTAAGTCTCTAACACCAGAACTGCTTTAACCTAAAGACCATGCATTACCAAGAAAAGCATCCCGAGAGATATCAAAATATTGTTACAGATTGTAATCTTTAAAGTTAAAATAAATCAGAAAATTAATAAATACATTAAAGTATTAGACATTTTTAAAATATTAATTAAGTATAACTAGAATTAAATTTGCTTGTTCTACTTCATCCAGCCACTGCTATTTAAAGAGTAATGCCCAGCATACCATTCAAAACTGAAAGTACTATCAAGTTGTCATGTATCTCATATCCATTTTGTACATTCAGAAAAAGGCACTAAGATCTTTCGCAACACAACAAATAATTGCAACAGAACCTTGATTCTGTGTCCTGCAAAAAATTATATATGAAAATACCTGTCTTATCAGTAAGCAAGTAGGATATTCTGCCTAGTTGCTCTGGGATTGTGCTAGATCGAACTACTGTGCCAGGAATTTTAGAATCCCTCCGGATCATCCAACTGTAGACAATTTTTCCCATGTCAAGATTCACTCGTAAACTACATAAAAGAAAGAGAAGATGAGGAAGAAGCAACAATAGGTTGTTATTAGGAGTTTACTCAAAACATGACTTAAAATTTGGTATGAAGGGTGTTTGAAGAGGTTTGGTCCCTTGCAATTTACCCCAATTTGGTTCCATCTGTATACCGTATTTTTCAGAGTATAAGACGCACCTTTCCCCCCCCAAAAAAGAGGGTGAAAATCTGGGTGCGTCTTATACTCTGAATGTAGCCCCGCCCGGCTTCTCAAACGGAGATTTCAGAGGCTGTAAAAAGCATCAGAAAAGGAGCTTCAGAAAAGAAGCCCCCAAACAGAGCTTCAGAAAAAAAGCCCCCAAACAGAGCTCTGTTTTGGAGGCTTTCAGAGGCAGAGGCTTTTCTGAAACAGAGTTTCAGAGGAAAAAAAAAAAAAAAGCAAGGCACGGAGCTCACAACCAAGGAACCTGTTGCTAAAATTCACCTCTGGGAACAGCTGATTGGGGGTATTCCCAGAGGCCAATCTACCTGCCAATCAGCTTTTTTCTTATTTTCCTCACCAAAAACTAAGGTGCGTCTTATACTCCAGTGCGTCTTATACTCCGAAAAATACGGTATGTGGGATTGCAACTATCAATGGACAACACCATGATAAAAATTAGATAAGGTCTGAACCAGATGCTACTTTCTTACACGGGATTTATATAAACACATTCTCTCATTTCTGAAGCCACAGAGCAGTGTTCCTCCAAATGACATTTGCAACCCAGTACTTAGGATCGTATCAAATAAAAATCGCTTCAAGGTAACTGGTGGTCTGAAGCAGTTATTTGAACTCTGGCCATTATTAGCAAACAATGTAATAGGGAGTATGTTGTAATCCAGTTCAAAACTCATAGTTAAGCTACGTGATATTTGGGAAATTCATGACCTGGATCTCCAGCTGTTTTCAAACGTAACACCTAATGGGTTTTAACTAAGATTTGTTGGATAAGGCATAGTGTTCTGGTTCACCATTGTACTAAGCTCAAAGTAAACCACATTATCATTGGCATTCACTGTAGGAAACAAGGGAAGGCAAGTGACATCTAGTGATAGCACTATGCAGACTCTTCTGCACGCTGTGACACAAGTACAAAAAGAATGCATCATGACAATTTTTGTAATGGGTATCAAAATGATGAAGAATGGATGACTATGCATATTATGGCTTAGTATGAAGAATGGATCCAGCCTTTTTTTAAGAACAACAGTTCAGCATAGGGAGGAATTTTAGAGTTCCCCACATAGAGAATTGTCACTTGTTTTCTATGTTTAATATTTATACTTCCTATATTTAAAATGCTCTTTATCAATATGACTTACATCAAGCTAAAAATTGTAAATGAATTTCTTAAAAATAAGGAATACTTGTGATGATTCCCCAAACTAGAGCTGGGAAATCAAAGCACGCCAAATGCTAATGAACTCCATCATTTAACCAAGTCAGTCAGTCCAGGCAATGACACTGGTGGAAATGTTAGAGCAATAGAGGATCCCAAGTTCCTTAGCACTGCTCTAAATTTTCACAGCTCTACAGGCCTTTTTCAGGCTGCAAACTATAATTTATATACAGATGAATTATACACATAAATTAGTCAGTTCTTGCAAGCAGTTCTTGCTCGCTTTACTCTAAGTATAGGAAGGTTATTATTCACTTGTTACACACAGATTTGGAAACTGTGATTTATTTAAAGCACCAGATTTGTTTTGCTCCTAATGAGGAATGAAAGACTGATACTTCCTACCCACATGTCCCTAAGAGATTGCATAATCCTAAAACTCATCTAGCCCATTCATGCAGAATTCACAATGGCCTGAAACTGTAAAACCTATCAATAATTACATCATGCAAGAACTTCTAGCATGCTTGCTTTAGCCTTCAAGGAAGCACTTTTCACTTGAAAATAACAAGAGTAGTTACATAAAAAGCAACTAGGCTGATGTTAAGGATATGGAGTAAATCATTTATGGAAGTTTGAGTAAAGCTCAAATGAAGAAGAACCTCAAAAATACAGCTCTATTTTAAAGGAGTACAACAGAGATGGGTTTCAGCAGGTTCTGACCAATTCTGGAGAACCAATAGCAGAAATGTTGAGTAGTTCAGAGAACCGGTAAACACCACCTCTGACTGGCCCCACCCCTATCTATTCTCTGCCTCCCAAGTCCCAGCTGATCGGGAGGAAATGGGGATTTTGCAGTAACCTTCCCCTGGTGTGGGGAGGGAATGGAGATTTTACAGTATCCTTCCCCTGCCACACCCACCAAGCCACGCCCCTCAAGCCATGCCACGCCATCAAGCCACACCCACAGAACCCGTAGTAAAAATTTTTGAATTCCACCACTGGAGTACAACAAATACATTTATACCTGATAGGAATGATATTTGAGAACAGAAGAAGAAATCTGAGGATCTGAAGGTACCAGCGGCCAGCAAAGTGTTGGAGGGAGACCATGACAAGGGAGACCACCACCAAGGCCGCAAAGAGTATCTTGGTTAGACAGTTAACTTCCAAGTCAAAGAGACCAATCTTAAAAAGAGAAAATGATTGTTTGCATTAACAATTATTGCAACTGGAGCAGGTATCAAACTAAAATATGGTCACACACTACTCCAGGTTTTTTTTAAAAAAAGATATAGCACATCTTTCCCTAGTTCAGATTTTTAAAACAGGGCATCAACAGTTGACTTCCAATAAAAAGTAGGAGGGGATCTTGCATTGGCCAGGGATTGAACCCCTAAGGCAGGCCTGTCAAACTTGCAGCCTGCGGGCTGGATATGTCACATGCAGGCCACACCCACCCTGGCTCCGCAAAGGCAAAAAATGTCGCAATATGTCACGATCTGGCCCATGACATGATCAAGTTTGATACCCATGCTCTAAGGTTACTTTAAATTTTAAATGCTCCAATTCTACTCAGAAGGCATCAAACAAGGCAAGATTGATTCAGATGATCAATATTCTTCTAGGTATAGGGATCAGAAGATCAGGTGATCCTATAAATTAGTATTATTGTCTTAATAGTTATTCGTGGCTCCCTTTTTATTTTTGTGGTACATTGTTATTTCTACAGCTATATTGATATTTTTACCTCTGTATATCTGTATATTTATATTTGTAATGAGAGGTCCTTGGTACTTTCTGAGCTGGCTTGTTTTCTTGCAGATGTTTCATTACCATAACTAGGTAACATTATCAGTGATGGTTATATTTGTAACTGTGCTGTACTCAGATTTTTTTTTTTACTTCAAAAAGCTGTCCTCTGACTGTAATAAATATAAACTAAGCTAGCCCCTTCTCCTTGACACTGTTTTCTGTATGCAGACACACAGGTGATATTGATGTGGATGACCAAAGATCTGGTTTCTGTAATTCTCCTGTGGAAACCAGTTGACATGAAGTTACTGTCTGAGAACTCATACTTTACATTGTTCATCTAACATGCTTTATATGCACACCCGAGTGACACATGTCAGACGTGTGACAGATATGATCAGGCATCTAAAATGGACTACACAAGTTTGCATATTTATTGGCAAAGCTAGCTTTATAGACCAAGTAAAAGAGATGAGTGTCAACCCTGCTAAAGGCATCTTTTGCTGCTTCATGGTTGCCACAAGGCATAAGGGGGAAAGGGAGTGGGGAAAATAGATAGCCTGACTTGGCCGTCAAAACAAAAAGTTTTCCTGTGGGAACCAAGGTCATTTCAACAAATGGCTGAGAGAGGAAGAGTGGAGTAACCAAGTGAATGACCAACACCTCCATTAGACAATGTAACTGATGACCTGGGGGAAGGGTGGAACTTTCACTTTTAATTAGGTGAAAACCGCGGGAATTTTCAGAGTTGGTTTTTATCAGCTATGCCAATATGATGTATCCAATAAAGCTGTTCTTTGAGGAATCTACCTGCCTCGGAGTTCTACTTTTCATGGGTGCATTACTCAGAACGCTGACAACAACTTTATGTTGTCAGCAGCTCAGAGTCACCTGTGTGCAAGTAATGTGGTCATATAAATTTAAGGAATAAATAATTAATGAGGAAACATTTCCCTTACCTTACTGCGTGGATTTGAGGTATTCATGACACTGCGTAACTCTTGGCCTGTATAGAGAACAACTCCCACAACTGTTCCTAAAGGATTGAAGCAAAAACACCAGTCCTACACTCTGTTCGTATAAGTTCACATATATATAGTGCACTAGAACAGCCTTCCAGGGAAAGAGCTGGCTTTTTTCTCACTGGAGGTTTGAAATGATGCTGATGGTCACTTATCAGGGATAAGTGCACAGCCCGCCCCCTCCAACCCTGTTTTGGCCAGCAGGGTGCTTCAGGAGGCAGCCACCCCATCTCCCCCTGCTCCCCCGCTCCCCCCACCAGCCCACAGAGGAGAGCTACAATGCTGATCCGGCCCTCAAAGAAATCCAGTTTTTGACATCCCTGCTCTAGATATATTTGGGCTCCACAAAAGTGACACAAAAGTGCCACCAAGGAACCTAGGATGATAATTTGCACTGGTAATCAATTTATTCATGCATTTTAATTAATTTATAAACAGGTCTTAACCAATACAATTTACATGCATAGGTACAATAACTGGAGAATACCAATAGTGTTCAAAAACGAAACAATAAAACATACATTCTGTTGTTAAAATCAGCAGAGCAATTTTTTTTTGGGGGGGGGGGGAGTAAATAATGATGCTTAGAGGCCAGGACATGAAAAGTGTTAGTGTCAAGAGAAAAGATGTACAGCTAAAACCAAAACTATACAAGATATAATTTTAATTTAAAATATAACTAAGGAGAGGTATCATGATTAATCCCAATACTATAAATTATGGTAAGTTTTCTTTGACATTAAAGATTCAGTGGCATTTTATACTACATAAACCTTTTGGGAGAATTTAAGAATTTTTACTCCAGTAAATTATATGTGTGTGTGTGTGTGTGTGTGTGTGTGTAGTTAATATTTCGGGTTTCTTCCCGTATAATTGTGGATATATCCCTAAAAGGGTAGAAGCGACGTTTTTTAGGGATATATCCACAATTACACGGGAAGAAACCCGAAATATTAACTATACACACATATATACCCGTGAAAACTTACATAGACATATATATATATATGTATATATATATGTATATATGTATATATGTATGTATGTAGGTCTTTGTATGTCTTCTACGTAAAATTAGTGTATGGCGATGTTTATGAAGTCTTTGTCATCTTCAGGCTGGTGTTCTCGGCTTCGTGCTGAGAACGAAGCCAAGAACACCAGTGAAGATGACGAATGAGACTTCGTCGAAACGTCGAAGACACTTCCAATTTTACGTGGGAGAAGACCCGAATAACCAAAGACCTACATACAAACACCCGCGAAAACTGAGAAATATATATATATATATATATCGATATATCGTATATATACTTATATATTATATATATATATTTATATGCATACACTATAATAATCGAAGACCCGAATAACCAAAGACCTACATACAAACACCCGCGAAAACTGTTGAAACGGCAGCTCTCAGGAATCATAGCCAATTGTTAGGCTGGCTGTGAATTTTGCCAGCTGCAAGGACAACACATCAGAGGGTGCCAGGTTTCAGGGAAGCTTCAGCAAAGAATGCAGGCAACACATGGCACAAAAGTTGTCTGATTACGGTAAATCACAGAACAAACAAATCACAGAAACCATCCTGGCATTACCCAACTCATTGTTTTAATCTCATTTCTTCTGAGGATTCTGTCTTTGACATGCCTCTCAGTCAGCTAAGTACCATGAACTTCCCTCCCTGAAAGCGGCACATCCATGCCTTAAGTGCTCAACAAGATGGAAAGCTTATAGAGAAAGAGGTGAGTATATTTAGCCATCTCAGGGGAGTGACAGCGGAATTGTTTCTTGAAATACGCTTCAGAGAAAAGCCTTTGATTTCTTCCAACTATAGCCTGATACATCTGCTCTTGCTTTTATCAGATGTTCTCCTTTGGAGTCGCAAATGGGGAACCCCATTTATTTGTGGATCTTTTATCCCGGCTTCCCTTTAAAAGTCTCCCTGACACCCTTTCTGTAACTGATTTAAAATGTCAATATAGGGAGCAATTAAGTGCTATTCTGGCAGTGGATGCTTTCTCCAAAAGGTTATTTATTGGAATTCCAAAGGTCTTCTCATCTATAAATGTCCAAAGGGGTAATTAGATGTCAACTCAAACCCTTGGTAGTGTTAGCACAAGTGGAAAACTTCATTCCAACCCCTAATTTCCATTGACAAGAGATGATTATTTTCAATTACAAAGAGATTTTTTTTAAAAAAAATTGCTAACATACTCCCTGGGAAATTCACACATCAGGCCTTACCTGAAGCAATTACTGTGCTAGCCCAGAGGGTATTTTCAATACTCAAGCTCTCATTCACAGGAGGGTCACTGTCCTCCTGAAAGAGTCAAGGAAACAAACAAAAATAATAAGCACCTTGTGCATATATTTTTTTTAAAAGGTTCACACACCATTTCTAGAATTTCATAAATGATCAGAGACGTTTAAATCTCTCAACACTGTTGCTTCAATCCTCAGGTGCTGAAAGACCACAGGATTCTTTCCCTGTCACCTCAGGTGTGAAGCCAATGCTGGAGTGTGATGTGTGTCAAGATGTTCAGTAGTGCAGGCTACAAGAAGCAACAGTTGAACTGCAGCTCCCAATAATACAACACCCTGACAGATTATGGTAATGTACGTTCAACAGCCTGCTGGTTACATCATAGATTATCGTTCAAATCTGAAAGGTTCAGGAAATGCTGTGTGGCTGTTCGTAGCTGTTTCTGAGCATTTCATTTTAAATAAATCATGCAACAAAGGAAAACAGTGGTGTTAGCTTGAAGCAGATAGCCTTTTCCAGTTATAAAAGGTAGATTTGCACGATGTAAACCAACAATCTTAACTCCAGGGTCATGTTCACACATTATATTAACTAAGAACCGCTTTTAAGATTCAGGGGAAAAACTATTCACTGACATCTGTCCTCTTCCTCCCAGCTTTTCTGTCCCTCCCTCCCTCCAACATTACATGTCCCTTTTGCCAATTGAAATGAATAAACAGATGTGTTTAGGGAAACTCAAAATATTAAAATAATTATCAGTATGGAACACAATCTTACTGCCTTGAATGAAAACTACCTGGGCACTTTAAATACCAAATCATTTTTTAATTGAACAGCCTTCTTGTAAGGAGCAGCTGTATGTCTCCCTTTTAAATTTCCTTCTGTAAACCATGGATTGTTTTAAATAGTGGGTTAAGTTACAATGGTTGGGTTCCCAGATAATATTAAAATAACAAACCAAGCTTTTGATTTACTAGGATGATACAGTTTACCATAATTGTCTAATGCTACAGATGTACTAATTATTATCGCTTGTTAATAAACATAGTTAAGACAAGCAATGATTTAGTGTCTAAACCATTTCCCATGCTTTATGTTGATTAGAAAATTGGACAATTATATTTGATGATGTGTTGTTAAAAAAGAAAAATTAAGTGCCAATTCTATTATTTCCTCTTACAAGACTGTAGTACAAGAACAAACTACATTTTATGCTGTTCATCTCCAAACATGTTTGTTTAGATTAATTACAATTACCCATGGAATGGTATAATTTTTATCTTGAAAGCTGTGTACTCCCCAGGTATAAAAACTGCACTCTCCAAGGCAACTTGGAGCTTAATGAAAGGAGTCATTAGCTACCAACTTGAACATTTTCCTCCAAAGTTCCAAGCTTTAAGATGCAATTGTTGATTGGGACAAAGCTGGGAGGTTATAGGGCAAATCTCTCTGTTATATATCACTTTCAAAAAACAAAATCCCTCCTTATGAAAAGATCATTCATCCAGCACATGTCCCAAACAGAGATCATTACGGAAAGTGTTATCTCGGTCTAAAATCTATATGGAACATGTAGAACATCTCCAAATATTGTTTTATAAGCCCAACACTCTTCTGAAGTTTCTAAGTTTTACTTTTTTCTTTTATTAAACAACAAAGTCAATGCCTACTCTTGTGAATGTCCCAACGAAGTTATGGATGTCAATATTTGGCTCCTCTGCATACACATATGACCTGATTTGAAGAAGGTCCTACAAAGGAAGATGAGAGTATGAAGACAGAAAAGGGGCAAAATTCATTATAATAGCAATAGCACTTAGACTTATATATCGCTTTACAGTGCTTTACAGCCCTCTCTAAGCACTTTACAGAGTCAGCATATTGCCCCCAACGATCTGGGGTCCTCATTTTACCAACCTTGGAAGGATGGAAGGCTGAGTCAACCTTGAGATGGTTAGGATTGAACCCCTGACAGAATTAGCCATCTTTCCTATAGGAACCAGAGACCAAGATATGCTCAAATAAACCACCAAGATTTAACTCAGCACATAAGCTACAAATTGGTTTGAAAAACAAATATGTCATTGGGAGATATTTTTTTTTAATGGCACGTTAGGTTGTATAATTAAAACGACGTTTGTGTTACGTACAGAAGCAGTAGGTAACCTCTGAGTACAGCTGACAGGCAGGCGCAGTTTCCAATCTGTTTCACCATCCAGCTGATCCGTTCGGAGAAAGCAGGACCCTATAGAAATATTCATCTGAGTTAATTTCTCCCTCCCATGCTATACATAGGAAATACGATACCTCATTATTTAAAGCAAATTCTTTATAGAAAGGTTTAGCCTACATGGTACAGTAGGGGAAGAATCTTAACTCAGTGATCTGAGAGGTGTTTTACCTATAATTAATTGTGGGAGTGATCAGAGGGGCTCCCCATACAAAAACAACAAAAAATCAGCAGATGGCTTGCTGAGAAAAAAATAGAGTAGTCAATAGAACTAGACATGCCTTCCTCAATGCGGTCCCGTCCTTGCATATTGGACTTCATGTAAGGTGGTGGTGAAGATTCCATCACTTTCATGTCAGAAAGGACATCATCCATGCAGTAGTCTCTAAAACTTTGGTGTCAAAACTCAACTTCATTGAGGCCGCTTCATCAGGGTTGTGCTTGACCTCGGAGAGCTGGGTGGGCATGGCCAGCTCAACAGCACTCATGTTGGGGGCATCTGTGGTGGCTTGAGTGCTCTGCCAGCAAAAACGGAGCTCGGGAGGGCTGTGTGCAGCCCCCCCCAAGCTCCATTTTCACTGGCAGAGGCATTGTGGGCCAGTCCTTCAGCTTTAGTTTGTACCAGACACAAAACACTGGTGCTTTGCACAAATCAGAATTGTCTCTGGAGATAAGATGCAAATACAGAGGTTTTTATTTTTATACATCATTCTTTTTTTGGGGGGAGGTACTAAGATTAAGCCAAATAATAACCCTATAACTTCAGTGTTGAGAGCAGCTCCATGTGTGCCTCCAAACCATCTTCTGATGTGGGTCACAGTCTCTGTGTGACCTACAAACAATTTGACTGTGGCCACCATGACTATAATATGATTGCACTTGAATCAACAGTGCTACTGGCAGCTGTTCCCTTGATAAATATTATCACACCCAGGCAGGATCCCACTGTCTTCACTTTACGAAGTAGTTTTAAAATTGTGCTTTTCTTTTCCCACAGTTCAATTTAGGTAGAAGTAAATAAATATTATGAAGAAGCTTCAGAATTGCTGATTACATAAACATAAAGCTGCGGTAGCCGAGAGTTTGCAAGCTGCCTGAACAAATGGTGGGACATCTCAGAAGAGAAGCTAATCTGAAGCTCAATGAAGCCCAAGCTACTGCCAACATGCCACATCAATCTCCCTTTCCTTCTCACTGCTTGACCTTACACAACAGGACGTCCTGCAAGATAAACAAGCTCTATGTTTTTTTAAAAAAAATCACCAATTATAAAATAAGAAGGAAGCTTGAGCTATTGAAAATGAGTGTTTGAGTTCGTCAGACTCACCAAATTTAAAATTGTATCTACTTAGGTTACATGTTCAAAATGATTATGATGTCCCCTATAACTGGCAAAAGGTTAATGGTTATTTTCACAATGGGTTCCAGATGTTTACCGTTCTTTTCTGATGTCCTCAAGAAAATCATGTCAGCAGGGACCCGTTGGTTCTTCATTGGGAAAAGAAAGGCAGTCAATGAATATTCAGTCCATAATTTTGACTGGAAATATAATATACAACTAAGAAGATTTATTTTTTCATTCGTTCAATTTCTATAGCTGCCCATCTCAATCAATGACTGGGGGAGGGTTTACAATTCAAAAAATATATTATAGTTAAAACATTTAACAGGCACAATATAATTATTAAGTAAAGGAGCTCATTGAGACAGGCTGATTATTGTATATTATATAGAGATTATTGTATAATTCCATCCAAACTAAATTCATAGAGATATATTACACAAGCAACTTCATAACTTTAAATCCCAGTGTCAGTCTTTTCTAGGTCACCCACAATAGAAAGAGACAATTTAGAAAAATGAAGTTGAAATGGTATAGGACCTAGAGCAGGAGGTTGGACTAGATGACCTTCAAGGTTCCTTCCAACTCTATTTTTTCTGTTATTTCATATTTAAGTGATATGGGAATAAACAGAACATTTTTGCCATAATAGCATATCCATTTATTCTCTTAATCAAAATGGTTATTATATATTTTTACACAGCCACCATTCAATGAAAGTAAAAGTATAAAATTCAGATCATTAAACCTGAATCATTGTCAAAGACCAGAAAAGAGAAAGCTCTTAAGACCAGTGAAGTAGAGGTGGATGGGTTTTCTAAAGACAAAACCTGAATACTGAACTGAAACAGAATACTAGCAAGGCTTCAGGCCTATCCTGAAGTGAAACAGACTTTCATTTTGGAGACTTCGTAGGATATGGAGCCTTGACAGCTGTCATGATGTATACGCTTCCAAAGGTTCCCACTTAAGTTGATAATATAAGCAAGAACTACTGCTTTGAAAACATGTGTCTGAGCAGTTATCCAAGAAAGAAAGAAAAATCCTTGTCTTTTGCAAATAGCTAATCTGGAGAAGTTTCCTTCCATTGCAATGATTCTGCTGCCCCCAAATGTCCTTATCAGGGATGTGGTTTTCCTTTTACTCTTACATCTGGTTTCAAGGCAGCTGCCTTTCTTCTCGTCCATATAAGCCCATGGAACCTGCGGTCTCTCTATTAATTTGCACAGGAAAAAAAAGGAAGATTGCCACTGAAGACTGTTCCCTCCAACCTGCCAAGAAGTCTAATGATAACAGAATGCTCTTTGTGGAGAAGGCCTTCACACCAAATTCATCTTTGTAGTGTGAGGCTCTCTCTCCTCCTAATACTTCTCTACCTTGAAAGTGCTCAGTAATATCCTCAGAAAGTTTCCTTTTGCATTAAGGTCCGCCTGCTACCACCAATAGCCTCGCACCGGCCAGTACGCTCCCATAGAGAGGGGCTCCTCCGGGTGCCGTCGGCCAAACAATGTCGGCTGTCGGCCCCTAGGGGGAGAGCCTTCTCTGTGGGGGCACCTACGATTTGGAACGAGCTCCCCCCGGAGATACGTAGGATCCCGGATCTGCGCACCTTCCGCCGCGCGCTTAAGACTTTTCTATTTTATCAAGCTGGCCTGGCCTAAATCTTCCCCTTTTTAAATGTGGAAATTTTAAATTTTTAAATTTTAAATTCGTCTTATTTATAGGGGCATGGGTAAGGCGTTTTAAATTGGGGAGCCATTTTGGATTTAATTCTGTTTTAAATGTATTTTAATGTTTATATTGTATGTTTTTTAATTTTGGCTGTTCACCGCCCCGAGTCCTTCGGGAGAGGGGGCGGTATAAAAATCTAATAAATAAATAAATAAATAAATAAAGGTCAGCACCAGCATTTCTGAATAGGAAAAGCATCTAAAGCAGAGGTCTTTAAAGAAGAGCTATGCTGGCTGGAGAATTCTGGGAGTCGAAGTCCACAAGTCTTAAAGCTGCCAGGTTTGGGGACCCCTGATCTAAAGGGTTTTGAAAACCAAAGCAGGCTTTCAACCTTTGGTCAAAAGCTAATCAAAAAATGGAGCTTCCTTCCTGAAATTTTAATTAACTTCTAAACAAGAATTAAGACTATAAGATACGGGTGGCAAAATCCAGTTAACTACTAGAGGCCCGTAAAGGGATAGGTGTACATATAACACTGTGCTGTCATGTACTTCTCATCTGGATGTTTGCCTACAATTGTTTGCATACAATTATGAAGCAGCCTTCCCAATTTGGTGTCCATCAGATTTGTTGGCTTGGAATTCTGATTACTGAAGTTCAACATATAGAGAGGCATGAAATGGAAGAAACCTGCTGTACAACATGCTTTAACTATTAATTGCTATGCCATCAAAACTGACACCAGCCAGAACATAGAATAACTAAGAAGTAGTACATGATTGGAGGAGATTTGGCCCATAGAATGGGCAAGAGTCAGACAGGACTGAATGGATAACATTGTAGTCATTGTCATCATCATCATCATCATCATCATCATTGATTGCTAAATGCTGATTCCTCTGTTATGTTATGGGTATTGAGGAAAATATTATCATCTTTTAAATGCAGTCATACCTTTTCCACAATGATAAGGTCCCCCACTTGAATATTAGAACTTTTCACCTTCACTGTGCCTGAAGACAAAACAAAATACTGCTTTAAAATTCTCCAAAAGTGTGCATAATTCTTCACAAGACACTAAGCATTCTCGGTGACAACCCTCCCACGCACACTTCAATTCAGAGGGAATTATTTGGCACCTTTCTATTGACAAATATGGTCCACAGCTGATATGATCCTTGATGCTAAAAACTCAACAAGTATTAGCAAAGAGCAATGCCTCATTTTTAAAACACTGTAGAGTAGCTTTATGCAGCTGTGAACAGTACAAATGACCAGCATGCATTTAAATTTGAAGCAGAGAGCCAAAGCAAAAGATCAACAAAGTGTAGATGGGAATTAAAAACACTCCCCACTCTTCCAAGAAACATTTAGCTTTTAGGAGACCTTATACATCATGACTTGCAAAACAGAGCACAAAAGGTTTGAGAAAATATTGCTTTTTGATACAGCTGGTAAATGCCAATGATCTATATCAAAGCAGTACTCCCTTGGTAGGGGGTCTCTCTGCATTTCATAGGACTTTTTTTTTTTTAATGCTGGTCTGGTTTACTATGCTTTGTATTCATGAACTGTAGAGAGAGGAAAGCAAGAAAATAAAACTCTTAAACCAAAAACCTAAAAAGGTATCAAACCCAGCATTTGCAAATTTAAGGACAAAACTGGGCCAAAAGATACATGCTCAACAAACTTGCATCCGATAAATATAGATTTATCTTTCCCCCCCTAAAAATATTTTTCAGTATCCCAGAAAGCAAATGCAATTTTAAAAAATAGCAAATTTGAATATCCACTATGAAATTTAAATGTAGATTCAGAGCAAAGGTTTTCACAGCAAAGATTATTTGTGCCTTGTTATTTTATCTTCCATTTTATCTTCCTGGTTCTTATCAAAGAGAAGGAAATCCTGTGTTAATTAAGAGTGCCTTTTCATATGCATATTTTCTTATCCCCTTTCCATTTATTACCTTTGTCTACATTGTTTTACATATGGATGCCTGCCTCCCCATTGTATCCTCCAAAAAATAAAGATAAAGAGATAGTGGGTAGCTTCACAATAAGTATATTCATGCATGATTTGTTGGCTAATTATTATACACTAGGACATACATGCTGGCTTATGAATCATAATATTAGGGTTTACACTACATGTAGTTTGAGCCCTAATACTGTTTACTGTTTACAAATTTTACTTACCATAGTATCTGAATATTTGAAAGCAGTTAACAAGTGGATTTGTACATCGTACTATGCCATTGTTATGTTTATGTTTATAATTATGTTTAATTGCTCCAGTTGTATGAATTTGTACAAGAAAGTAAACCATGAACCATGATTTATGATTCACACACTGAATAAAACTATAATGACATTTGTTTAGGGAGTTTCTCCTTCCAAAAATTTAGCAGCTTAAATTTAAGGCTATTAAACCATGGCCTACCATTATATACAAATGGCAGCATATTTTGTTTTGTTTTTATTTACCAGATATTCATATAGTTACAAACTTTATATATGTTATAAATTTGCCTTATAAAAAAATAATCATTAGTAGGAAGGTTTTGCTAGAGCATTCTTTCAATAGGACACTATAAAGTTCTGATTTGGCCCAAGTCACCAAAGGGATAATTAAAAGCTCTGTCCATATATTTGACATCTTCCCCTTCAACCCCCTCCTTCTCAAAATTGCTGTTCTGATTATCATCATCTTTTGATAGAGTTGCAAAGAGACAGAAAGCTGGAGCCAATTTCCTGACCTCTTGCTGTGAGCTTGCTGTAAATCTGAGAGTTGACTTCCTTGTCACGCATGTAACATCGGATCTCTTCTACTGCCTCACGGATGATGGTAACAGTAAGCACAAAGCCCTAAAGAGGCAGAAAGAGAAATGGTGGAGGATTAGTCAAAGAAAATAGATTAAATCCAAAGAACTTGTCAGAAGACCTGGGAAGTTAGTGAATGATCACAACATGGAGTCAAGATTAAATGTTTAGTTAAATTTTCCATTTCAGAAGAAGCCGCTTAGTTGGTAGAGGCTAACATTTTATGATGTGATATAATATGATATAAAACCATATGATGAATGATTGAGGGGACTAGGTACCATGTTTCCCCAAAAATAAGACCCTGCCTTATTTTATTTTTTTTTTGAACCGTGAAATATGAGCTTGACCTTATTGCCATGCGCTCAAAAGCCCTATTGGGCTTATTATCAGGGGATGTCTTATTTTGGGGGAAACGGTATATGTAGGGGGACTAGGAGTGACATGATAGCAATCTTCCAATATTTGAGGGGCTGTCACAAAGAAGGGGTTGACCTGTTCTCCAAAATACCTGAGGGCAGGACAAGAAGTAATGGATGGAAGCTTCTCAAAGGGAGATCCAACTTAGAATCAAGGGGAAATTTCCTGTCAACGAGAACAATTAATCAGTGGCATGGCTTGCCTCCAAAAGTTATGAGTGCTCAATCACTGGAGGTTTTCAAGAAGAGGTTGGACAGCCCTTTGTCTGAAATGATATAGGGTGTCCAGCTTGATCAGGGGGTTGGACTAGAAGACCTCCAAGATCCCTTCCAATTCTTTTTTTTCATGTTTTATTTGTTTTATTTATATAACATTTAATTTTCATCAAACAGTGTGTGGTCTGGGTACAGTTATGTTTAAATAGTCATATTACACATCTTTGTTGTGGTATTCATCACCATAATATTGATAATATAATAACATAATAAGGTAAAGGTAAAGGTTCCCTTTGCACATATGACTCTAGGGGGCAGTGCTCATCTCTGTTTCAAAGCTGAAGAGCCAGAGTTGTCCAAAGACATCTCTGTGGTCATGTGGTCGACATGACTAAACGCCAAAGCTGCACGGAACATTGTTACCTTCCCACCAAAGGTGGTCCCTATTTTTCTACTTGCATTTTTTATGTGCTTTCGAATTGCTAGGTTGGCAGAAGCTGGGACAAGTAACGGGAGCTCACCCCGTTATGCAACACTAGGGATTCTAACCACTGAACTGCCGACCATTCGATCGACAAGCTCAGTGTCTTAGCCACTGAGCCGCCGCATTCCGTATAACATAATATAACAATAATACTTAACATCATCTTCTTTAACAACTCTCCACTTTAACATTTCCTCTTTTTATATCTCCTCCTTTCTAACTTCTGTTTCTATTATCTAGCCATTGATAAAATACTGTATGTCCCATATCAAAAAATATTCAGTTTCTTCTTTATCCTTAATAGTAAGCGTTAGTCTATCCATTTCTGCGCATTCTAATATTTTCTTAACTACATTCCCCTCAGACAGGATCTCATCATTTTTCCATTGTTGCACAAATTCTAGTTGCGGTTGCGCAAATTCTAGTTGCGGTTAGTATATGCAAGATCAGGTATGTAGTCTTTTTATTATATTTTTCTGGTAGAATGCCCAAGAAAAATATCTCTGGTTTCAGGTCTATATGTTGTTTTGTCATTTTTTTCAGCCATGTATGTATTTTTGTCCTTTTTTTTTTTTTTTTTTTTTGGGCATGTCCACAGATGATTGATTACACTTCCAACATTTAGTAGATCTGTCTTTATACATTTTTGCCAATCTTGCCAGTGCAAAATGCCATCTATAAAACATTTTATACAGTTTTTCCTTATATGCATTTCCTTATATGATCCCTTCCAATTCTGTTATTCTGTATTCTATGTTACATGACTAGAAATAACAAGTAGAAAAAATAAAGACTGGTAGTACAAAACAGTACTAAAGCCACATTGCTACAATGTTCAAGCTGCAAATATTCAACTTCTATGTTGCTACAATATTTCCGAAAAGATGGCCTTTTCTTTTCTTTTACTTTCTAGATAATACAAATACTTTTGGAACAAACCAAGCTTGTATCCATTTCTTCCATTCTATTCCTACCAATGGTCAAACCAATGCCTCTGCAAACTCCATAGATATTGTATTTATTGTATTTTAAATATTTTTATATTTATTTTTAAAATATTCAATAATGAACAATTTAAACAAGACAAATAAAACCCATTCAATAAGAAGGAAATACCTTTTCATTTGTGACCCCAACAAGTGATATTCATAGGAAGAAATACATTTATTTATTAAATTTATATCCCATCCATCTCACTACCCAAAGCTGCTTTGGGTGGCTATATAACCAGCCTTATCTAATTCTGATAACCTATATCATCACCTTGCTTAGTGCTTGCAAACTATCATAATACTGCTCATCAAAGTAATGTTTTAGATTCTTGTTATTGGTGATGCTTTTGTTTTGCTATTTTTTTAAAGACACCAAGACACATTTATAGTGATTTTATACATGTGCACTCCTGAGAAATAGTCCCCACTGAACACACAGGACTTTCTTCTAAGTGAGTGAGATTACAGGTTTCATCCAGGGGTGGGCTTCAAAAATTTTCGCAAGGGGTTCTCTGCCCGGTTGCTGGGTGGGCGTGGCCATGGTGGGCGTGGCCTAGTCAGCCTCCTGCACCACCGGGGGGGGTGTTGCCCTCCCCAGGCTCTGGAGACTTTCCCCGAGCCTCCAGGAGGGCAAAAATGGCCTCCCCAGGCTCCGGAGGCCCTCTGGAGGCCAGAAACAGGTCCGAACTACTGGTAGGCCCGTTTTTCACCCTCCCCGAACCTCCGCACGCACCCTGCACTTATCTGCATCCAAAACAGGCCGCTTGGGGACTCCTGGGAAGGGTGGGGTGGAGTGGGCGGGGCCAGCCAGGAGTGGGATTTGGGGATTCTCCGAACTGCACAGAATCTTAGCTAGAGGTTCTCCCAAACCCCTGCGAACCCCCAGCAGCCCACCCCTGGTTTCATCCTTTAGAAGGGGAGGACGGCAGAAATATCATCACTAAAATTCAACTTCTCAGTCTAAAAGCATTTTCTTTCATAGTTTTTCTCTCTTTTTAAGACATACTTTAAATATTTAAAAATATGTTTCCAGACTGGGATTATATATCTGTGTAAGAACATTCTTGATGTAGGTTCTTCTTACCTGAATCATGGAAAGGAAATAATTTGTTCTGTAAATGTAATTAAGCTGTCCAAAGGAAATCAATCTGCTGTACTAATTTCTAGGAATCTTCCACTCCTTTGCATAGCTTCCATGAACATTAATTCAGAATTATATTACTATATGCCTTCAAGGCTTGCCATTACAAAGAGATGCAAATGATACAGGGGACTGATTCCAGCTCTCCCAAATTTGGAAATCATTAGTATATTGTATAAAGCAACTCCAAAGGAATTTGGGGTTATTAAGTCTTGTTTGAAAGAATGGCAATATCCTTTGGAGAAATAAACAACCCTTTTTACATTTACCTAAACTCAAATCCTGTATTTTATTTACTGTATTTTTAATTCCCTCAAAGTTTCTCTTCCCCAAAGCTAGTTTTAGCCCCATGGGAAGGAACATAGATCAACTTTGGGAGGATGGGGAAAATTTGGTGTTCCATTTGCTATTTTAAAGTAAAAAATAACAGCCTTGAATTATCCAATCCTATCATCACAAGCTCTGATTTCCTATATTGTTGTTCCTTCAATTAAAAATAAGCCCAGGTAAATACTTACTGACAGCAAGTCCCAATAACTAATGAGGCTTTCTTCTAAGTAGATAAGTAGCATTCAATTATCATACTATTTTATTCCCATTATGATAGCATTTTAATTTGGTGCTTAAAATATATATCAATCATTACTCTAAAATGCTACCTCAAAAACCAGTTTATAAGGTTTATGCATACTATATAGGAAAAAAATTTATGCATTTAAAGATTGGGGTTCCAAATAATCATTAAAACTATCCCATTTATTCTGCCTCACTGATTCCTCTCAAGTTGTTATTTGACTCCAAAACGGCTGTTTCAGCAGTCTACAATGAACAAAAAGTCTATTATTTATAACTCTGGCAGCTCACATGCTGAATTCTAATGGTTCGTGTGATCTGAACAAATTACAATGAGCTACAGGTTTGAAGCAAGCCCTGTTAAAAAAAATACAAACTAATTTCTACAATAAACACCATACAGTAGTGCAGCCAGATGTGTATTCCATACCATATAAAATGAAGGCATATTAAGAACACAAGCTACTATTAAAAAGGGGGAAAGTTTCTAGCAATCATGCTACATTAAGAAGTGGCTTGCTTTGTTAAATTCTAAATTTAAGCCAAGCCATTGGAGATAGCTATCTCTCAATACTTTTTTTCTTTTCAAAAGCAAACAAAGGCTTAATCAGAATAACTACAACTGGGAATGGGGGAGAAGAGGAAATTTAACCTATTCCTCTCTGTTGCTTTCTACATTTCAAGTCCCTCCCTGCCCCCCCCAGCAACCTCAAAAGTGGTTTTTGCCTCATGAAAAGAAATATAGATCTGCTTTGGGAGGAAGAGAAAATTTTGTTTTCCATTCGCTATCTTAAAGTAAAAAAATAACAGCCTTGAATTATCCAATCATATTATCCTAAGCCCTGATTTGCTAAATTGTTTGTTGGGAGAGCTATAATTGAAAGAAGTTAAAATCCCTAAAGGCATACTAAATCACAGCTACCCAACTGATAATCTTGTGTGGCTTCCGGAGATCTCTAAAAAGCATTAGCCATTATAATTTTTTTAAAGTGACACAACCGGTTAAACACATAACTGGATTGTTATTATTTATCATTTTATTAATTTTATTACATTTTTGGTTTTGTCCTCCTCTTCATCCAACTCGTATGACTATAGTTCTCTTCTCACAATTAGTTGAGCCAATAAGAAAACACATCTGAACCAGATTCAATTTACTGCAACATATATTTAAATCAAATGAAATGAAATTTAGCTTTACTCCTGGCCCTACCAATTTTGTCTTTGGAAACCAGTCATTAACATACTGTTCAAAATCCAAGTGTGGCTGTTGATGCAAAAACAAAACAAAACATAGCACTTCCTTGTATTAAACAAACAATTAAACCATTTATGGTTTGTTAGACACAGACTGCTGGTGAGAGGAACAAGCAAAACCAGTTAGAACTGTGCAAGTCAGCATGTTCCTCCTTAATTTCCATATTGGTCAATATATAGTTTATATAGTTTAACCTTTGGAAGGATCTAGAAAAATAAAACAAACAAACCCAAAGTCTATCTACTTCGTATTTGTTCAGCGTTTAGTCCATTGTTCCAAAGACAATTACAAAAATGCTTCCATGACAACCTACTTTTTTAAGGGAGTTAACCCAGGAGAATCTCTTTAACTGAACTCTTGGAATGATTAAGTTATGGGATAAATTACTCCCCTGATCAAGTGTCTCCCTGTGTATTTCATTTTCCTGCATCACTCAAGGTTTTATTTCTGAATGGTGAACCTTTATTAAATCAATTTTAAAAGTTAAACCAAGCATCTACAATTCCCAAAGACATAAAGGGCAGGTTTCATAAAATAAGCTAACAAAAACCATTTTAAGTTTCAGCATTACTTGGATCTCAGAGATAAGGTTAACAAAGGACATCTTGTATTCAAACACTGAAACTTTTCTTGGATAAATAAACCTGATATTACCTACCAGTGGAACCCAATATGTGTAAAGTGCACCAAGCCTCATTTCAGGAACAAATTGAGAACAGGCAAGAAATAAAAAGTAGAGATTGAAGAAATATTTGAATTGGTTGAACAGGACCTAAAAGCAGAGCGAGGAGAAGATTAAGTAAGTGACAAGGGAATATTGGAAGCAACTCATCCAACATAAAAGCAGCAATCCACAAAAACATGTTAATCTGAGAAGTTTCTAAAAAGGAAATAGTTGGACAGTAAAACTTTACTGATTTATAAAAACACACACATACATACACACCAAATACTCTCATCTCTAGGCAGAATATAGGTAGTCCTCAATTTACAACCACAAGTGGAACCAGAATTTTTGTTGTTATACAAAGCAGTTAAGTAACTTGTGCCTGATTTTATGACCTTTTTGCCACAGATATTAAGAGAATCACTGCAGTTATTAAGTGAATTAGATGTTCGCTTTTTGGAAATCAGCTGGAAAGACAGCAAATGGCAATCATGTGACCCTGAGGGGGTCATGCAACTGTCATGAATATATGCCAGCTGCCAAGCGCCTGATCACATGACCATAGTGCAATGGTCAGAACTGCAAGGACTGATTATAAATCACTTTATTCAGTGCTTTTGAAACTCTGAACAATCACTAAATGAATGCTTATAAGCAGGGGTGAAATGCTCCCGGTTCGGACCGGATCGCCCAATCCGGTAGCGATGGCAGTGGGTGGTTCGGAGAACCGGTAGCAAAAATCCCTGCGCCCCCCCCCATGCCCAGCTGAGCCCCATGATCATCAGAGGCTTTTTTTTTTTACTTTTAAAAGCATTTTTTCTACAACCTCTTCCGATGAAAAAATGCTTTTAAAAATAAAAAAAAAAAGCCTCTGATGATCGCACAGCTCAGCTGGGATCATCAGAGGCTTTTCAAAGCATTTTTTTCTGCAACCTCTTGGCCGAAAGTAAAAAAAATGCTTTGAAAAGTCTCTGACGATCCCAGCTGAGTTCCCTGATCAGCAGAGTGGTATTTTTTAAAGAGCCTCTCTGCCGATCCCAGCTGAGTTCCTGATCGGCAGAGAGGCTTTTCAAAGCATTAGAAAAAATGCTTTTAAAAGTTTTTTTTTTAAAAGTTGGCCACGCCCACCCAGTCACATTACCCCCACCACCACCAAGCCACGCCCACCGAACTGGTAGTAACAGATTTTACATTTCATCCCTGCTTATAAGCCTGTAGCAGTTTGAATCAGTTCAGTAATCTTTAATCCTCATTCTATTGTACTTTTGCACTAGTATTGGGAAGACACATTAGATGAGAGTTAATTTACTTTAGAAATGTATTTCAAAGTAGATTATTTAAGGTAATTGTTCATTGGGTGAGACATTCTTGCCTTCATTTAGCAAGATTTAATGGAAATACGGGAGGTTAGGAGACCATATGAGAATATCCTGGCCTCCCATATTTCCATTAAATCCTGAGAGAAATCTCATGAGGGAACTCTTTTCATAAAACCTTTGCAGTGATTGTGCTATTATAACAACTGGGGCAGGAAAATTCCTGTTCATAAGAAATAACTGAATAATTCCTCTCTTTAAAAAAAATGAAGATTTTTTTTTAAAAAAACCCACTTCTATTTTGGTTTGTTGGCTATTATACACAGATACATCTGTGGGAGGAAATGACATCACATGGGTCATGATGTCATCATGCAAATAGCATGATTGATTTGCATCAGAGGTATCATGTGACTGGTGCCAATTAGTGGCACCCGTCACATGTCACCATTAGCAAATGGTGACATTTGCACAATACAACATGCCAGATGTGCTGTTCTGGTTTTTGTTGTAGATTCTAAGCAATGTCTATAATCATACTTACTCCTGGTAGAAAAGTAAAGAAGTTGTACTTCTGGTTGTTGACGACATTGCGTGGATATCTCTGATCCCTCTTTTCGGGATGGCCAAGCCAGACGGTTCGAGGCCTGGGATCTCTTCTTCCACAACATCTTAGGCATTCACAGCATCTGTAGAAAAAAAACCCAGAATTTAAAACCTTATTACCTCAAGAAAAGCAAAATAATGCCAGCTTGTTCAACCAAAGGTTGCACTTTTCTGCCATTGTTCCTGACAAAACAATAAGCCAGGATTCTAGATGCAAGTGTAAGAACAAATGATAATTAAGCTAGGCTTTCTAAACCAAAATCAAACTGAGCCTTGGTAGTACAGTGGTTTAAAGCACCCTGTTATTGACACAGCTGCCTGCAATTACTGCAGGTTCGAATCTCCCCAGGCTCAAGGTTGACTCAGCCTTCCATCCTTTCTAAGGTAGGTTAAATGAGGACCCAGTTTGTGGGGGCAATAAGCTGACTTTGTATAAATATACGAAAGTATGAAGGCTATTGCTTAACACATTGTAAGCCGCCCTGAGTCTCTGGAGAAGGGCGGCATATAAATCAAATTAAAAAAAAAAAAAACCAATGGTTTCAAATTGTAATTTGGGATTCCCTTCCCTAATCATATTTTTCTCTTTTAGTTCTCAGAACAAATTGTTTCTCTACATCAGGGCTGTCAAACTCCCGGCCCGTGGGCTAGATGCATCACGCACTGACCACACCCATGTCCAATTTAGTGAAAGGGGGGGGGGGAGTCTCAACTGAATCTATCTGCATAAATTTTTTAGATGCATCTTTTAAAGCAGAGAACTCTAACTCCAATTGGCACAAGAGATGCATGAGTACCAGCTCATCAACCCAAGGGCTGATAAAAGGTAAAGGTAAAGGTTCTCCTTGCAAATATGTGCTAGTCGTTCCCAACTCTAGGGGGTGGTGCTCATCTCCATTTCAAAGCTGAAGAGCCAGCGCTGTCCGAAGATGTCTCCGTGGTCATGTGGCCGGCATGACTAAATGTCAAAAGCACATGGAACACGGTTACCTTCCTACCAAAGGTGGTCTCTACTTTTCTACTTGCATTATTTACATGCTTTCAAACTGCTAGGTTGGCAGGAGCTGGGACAAGTAACAGGAGCTCACCCCGTTACGCGGCACTAGGGATTCAACGCGCTGAACTGCCGACCTTTCGATCGACAAGCTCAGCGTCTTAGCCACTGAGCCACCACGTCCAGGGCTGATACACTGGAGCTTTTTCATAAATTGATTGAAAAATCTTGAGTGAATCAGAAACGAAGAAAGTGAGTATCACATTATGCCATTAATATACTGAATCAATGCATGAGTGACTGTGAACAGTGCTTCCAAGTCCAGAAAGGGATGCAATTGTTCACAAAACCAAATTGTGCAAAAGCCCTCCTGACCACAACAGTCACCAACATTTTAAGCAGCCCCTGTGAGTCAGGAGGATCCCCAGAAGTGTGTGCTGGTCTCAAATGGGGAAGTGCAATCCCATCAGGACCAAAGGTGAAAATGTCTCAGACCTCAGGGGCTCAAATAACCCCAGCAATGGAATTTTGTCAGGATGGAGCCAGAATGGTGCATTCCTCACCATATTGATCACTTCACTTCTAGTGCATCAGATTTCTGAAACCTTTTGTTCTATTTTTATTTATGAAATGTTAATCTGCTTTTCAGTGTTTAAAACACCCTGAAGAGAGATTTTGAAATGCCTCTTCATTAAAAATTGAGCAAAACAGTCGAGTCCAGAATGTTCAGTTCTTGACTGAACTTTTGAAAAAAAAAGTGCAATAAAATATGTATTTCTTCAATGAAATGTACTGTAATGTTTCTACATCCTGAAACACCAATTAGCCAAATACATTTTAGCCCTCTTTACTGTGCACAACCAACCTGCGTTTAATGTCATATGAACCAGACTGTTGTCTTTGCTGAGTAAATAAGATTTACATTAACCATGATTAAGCAATCATACACAGGCTGTCTAGTTCATGGAACCAATCACGGAAGCAGCTTTAATACTATGATCTGGTTCTAAACCTATTTTAATCTGGTAAATAATTAATCATTAGACACTAAATTCAAAGTAAGCAAAAGACCACAACTTACAAACCATAAAATCTGGAGTGGAACAACACACTTAGCCATCATAGGGTTTATTTGGATTTGGTTGTGTATGTGAGAATGGAATATATGCATGCCTTGAAGCTAGTTTGATGACTTTTCACTTTGTTATGACTGCTTAATGGTTCTTTATTAGAAATGTAAAAAAAAAAAAAATACTCTGGAAGAAAGCATACCAAACTTATTCCATTCTATTGTCAATCAATCAATCATACTGATCCATGAGGCCACCAGGAAGTAAGATCCACTACCTTTTTAATCCTTGAACTTTTGTTTGTTCAGTCTGGAGCTGGCCCTCCTAAGAACAGTAGCTAAATTAAATATGTAGCTACTGTTCTTAGCAAAAAAGTTGCAGATGTACTTGAGATGTCAGACAAATGTGTTAAAGAGGCACAAATACACTACAATCCCTCCCTGTTTCTCTAGCCCTTGGAATTCCCTCTTAATTATGCCACTGAATTTCAATTCAAGCCGAACAGTGAAACTTGTTTAGTACGATTCTTGGACGGCAAATCCCAGGGCAGCTAGTTAAGACTGGAATTTGAAAAACATATTTGAAGAAGGTGGCTGAAGTCCACTCAGTGATTTCTTTCTTCCTGAAAGACTCATAAAAAATGTAAGGCACAGAACGTATTAAAAACTTAAACAAGTGCTTAAAATAGGCTTAATTTTATTTTTTAAGAGAGAGAAAGAAATGTGCTCTCCCCCACCAATAAGAGATTTTAAAAAAAGAAAAATCCTGGTACAATTTTGGATGAACACTGATAGAAACCATCAGTTTCAACCAAAGAATAACAGAACATAATGACAGAATAACAGAGTTGGAAGGGATCTTGGAGGTCTTCTAGTCCAACCCCCTGCTCAGGCAGGAACCCCTATACCATTTCAGAAAGTGGTTGTCCAATCTCTTCTTTAAACCTTCCAGTGTTGGAACTGGAGGCAAGTCCCTCCACTGATTAATTGTTCTTTCAGGAAATTTCTTCTTAGTTCTAGGTTGCTTCTCTCCTTGATTAGTTTCCATCCATTGGTTCTTCAGGTCAAAGCCTTCAGGTGCTTTGGAGAATAGGTTGACCCCCTCTTCTTTGTGGCAGCCCTTTAGATATTGGAACACTGCTATCATGTCACATTAAGGAAAGCCTGTCACATGAAAACTCTAATAGGACAAGGCAAACACACTTACGCCATGTTCTACCTACTTGTTGGAAAGTTGAGGTGGGGTGGGGTGAAAGAAGCTATCATTTCCTTGAAGAAAGTACACTTCAGTGACAATGCTCCCTCAAAGGCATGCAGATCTTTATTTGCTGATAAAGAGATTACTCACTTGACTAAACATTGCTTACAAATAAATACATCTTATCCCAATATTTCCACCTACAAACTCCGGATGCATCCTGTTCCTCCAGTTACCCAACTGAGCCCAAAATTTATGTTGCTGAAACATTTGTTAAGTGAATTTTGTCCCATTTTATGACCTTTCTTGGCTCAGTTTTGAGTGAATCACTGCAGTTGTTAACTTAGTAACACGGTTGTTAAAGAGTTGTTAAACTGGCTTCCTCATTGACTTTGCTTGTAAGAAGTTTGCAAAAGGTCACCATAAGAGCCGTGGTGGTGCAGTGGTTAGAGTGCAGTACTGCAGAGTACTTTTGTTGACTGCCGGCTGCCTGCAGTTTGGCAGTTTGAAACTCACCAGGTTCAAGGTTGACTCAGCCTTCCATCCTTCCGAGGTCAGTAAAATGAGGACCCAGTTTGTTGGGGGTAATATGCTGACTCTGTAAACCGCTTAGAGAGGGCTGTAAAGCAGTATATAAGTCTAGTGGTCAATCATTTAAATATGAGCCAGCAGCCAAAAAAGTCAATGCAATCCTAGGTTGCATTAACAGAGGGATAGAATAGAACAGAATGTGCTGGAAGGGGCCTTGGAGGTCTTCTAGTCCAGCCCCCTGCTCAAGCAGGAGAACCTATACCATTTTGGATTAGTGACTGTCTAGATTCTTCTTAAAAACATCCAGTGTTGGAGCGCCCATGATTTCTGGAGGCAAACTATTCCACTGATTCCACTGTTCCATTGCTTTCAGGAGAGATCAACCAATTTCATCAATATATTTCTAAAACAAGAAAGTCACTTCATTTTACTTAGATAGAATCAAGTTCACATGAAGTATTAGTACCGCTTTATAAAACCTTAGTAAGAATACTGCATCCAGTTGTGGTCACCATATTATAAAAAAGAGGTAGAGATTCTAGAAAGAATGCAGAAAAGAGCAACAAAGATGATTAGGGGGCTGGAGGCTAAAACATATGAAGAACAGTTGCAGGTGAGTTGCAGGTGAGGGTCAAAGCCGGCGGGGGCCTGGTTGCAAAGCCGGGCTCCGGCGTGGAGCAGGCCAAAAATGGTGGTTCTCTTAATTCCAAATCCAGAGGGATGGAATCAAGATCAAGTGAGGTACTGATACCACTCTATAAAGCCTTAGTAAGTCCTGCATCCAGTTTTGGTCATCACACTATAAAACAATGTTGAGACTCTAGAAAGAGTGCAGAGAAGAGCAACCAGGATGATGAGGGGACAGGAGGCTAAAACAGACGTGAACGGTTGCAGGAACTGGGCATGGCTAGTCTAGTGAAGAGAAGGACCAGGGGAGACAGGAGAGCATCTTCCAATATTTGAGGGGCTGCCACAGAGAGGAGGAAGGAGGTCAAGCTATTTTCCAAAGCACCAGAAGGCCAGACAAGGAACAATGGATAGAAACTGATCAAGGAGAGATTCAACCTGAAAATAAAGAGAAATTTTCTGACAGTGAGAACAATCAACCTATGGAACAGAAGTTGCCTTGGGAAGTTATGGGAGCTTCATCACTGGAGGCTTTCCAGAAGAGACTGGACTGCCATTTGTGAGAAATGGTGTAGGGTCTCCTGCTTGGGCGGGAGGGTTGACTAGATGACCTACAAGGTCCCTTCCAGTTCTGTTAATCTGTTAAATCTGAATTGGGTTTATC